ATGATCTCCGTTGACATAACCGAGATTCGACTGCTGGTAGGGCGTCACAGGACGCGAGGCTGGATTCTGACCATTACCATTGGTGGGGAGCAACTCACCCGGGCCGGTCGATGGGTTGGATTCAGTGTTGCCATACGGTTCGTTGGTAAGCTCGGGACGAGGGGCATTTTCGTTCTCCTCGGCGGCGCGCCGAGCACGCTCTTCCGCCTCTTTCTCGCGAGCCTGTTGACGGGCATAGACTTGATCCAATTCCGCCACAAGCGCCGGCTGATCCACGATGATCGTGTTAATATCAACTTCGACATTGGACAGCATTTCATTGGCACGCAGTATGCGCTCCTGGTCGCCAGTTTGACGCGTGTCCTTGACAATGCGCTTGATGTCGGCTACGAACTCGAGGGGCCGTTTGTAGTACCCGTTGGAAAGACGCTTTTCGATCGTTGCGAAGTCCAGGTTGTAGAAGAACTTACCCGTGGCAGTCTCCCGAAGACCCAACACGCCATGCTTGTCGTATGCTTTTTCATACGGCCGGAATGTGTTCTGCTGGTCTGGCGGAACGTCACTCGTGACAATGTTGGGATCTTCTTCTTCCCATAAGTAACGGATTGTGGCTTCTTCAATCGATGGAAATCTGAACCGCTTGTATCTTTTCAGCTGATCCATAATGGGCTGGATCCGAAGTTTCAGTAGATTCAAGGTGTTGTTATCCTTCTTCTTCTGAGCTTTGATCTCTTCCTTGGTGAGTGGCACCTCAGGCTTGGGAGGAGGTGGTGGCGCAACTTTCAATTCTTCTAGCTGACGAAGCTTGCGGTTGTCTGGGTTTGGGAATGCCTTTGGGGGTGTCTTGACATACTCAATGATCTTCGCAAAGAATTCATGGCGAGCGTCGTGGCTCGGAGCAGTCAGATCATAGAAATTCTTCTTGGAGAAACCGAACAGGTTCTTGAGAAGGGCGGCATCCACATCATCATCAGCCGAATCAAGGATGCCAAGTAGCAAGACTGGATCAGAAGGCGGAACCGACCGCAAAAGACCCACAAAGGTAGAAATTACAGCAGGACCGACAGTTTGGAACCACAGCTGAATGTTGGGGATGTAAATCACACTTGGCTTATGTCGTTTGACCTCCGTGAACAGCTGGATGATAGTTGCCTCTGGAGAGCGAGTCGAGTCACTCAGCAGCGTGGGAAGATCGAATGCCTGCACATGCAGGCCTTCAAAAACATGCAGGAGTGCAGATGCCAAGTATTGCTGACCCATACCGTGGGAGCCACGAAGGAGTAGCCGTGGCCGAAATACACGCGAGCGATCGAATTCCTGCAATAGAAGTTCACGGCTGAAACCTGCGCCATCCTGGGGCTCCTCAAACTGAGCTTCCTCGAGTGCAGTGAGTTTCTTTCGCTGAGGCAAAATCTCAGACAATAAAGCCCTGATGTCGGCCAGTGGATCGCGGAGCAGAGGCTCGATGCTAGGAGGGAGCGCAATGGCACCAGACGAGGTGGAACGTTCTGAAGAAGGCACCAGTCTCTTGATCGCTAACATGAAATCCTTGGGGGCCACCTCAATTGACTTTGGGTCAATTATGAGCTTTTGATCGGACTTGTAGATTTGGGGGTACCTTCTTTGCACGGCATTGATTGCAGCTTCGGTGCACAGCGCGCGCAAATCGGCACCACCATATCCCTTGGTCATATCTGCAAGTTGCTCTTTGATGTTCTCCGGCAGAGGAGGGTCCCATTGTTTGGTATGGATGTCAAGAATTGCGCGTCGAGCCTCAAAATTGGGCAGCGCGAAGTAGAACTCACGATCGAAACGGCCCGGGCGACGAAGGGCAGGGTCAACAGAGTCTGGTCGATTAGTAGCACCAATCACAACCACTTGGCCGCGGCCGTCCATGCCGTCCATCAATGCAAGTAGAGTCGAGACAATGGACGAATGGATCTGGTCTTGCTTGCTCGACCTCACGGGAGCCAGGCCTGAAATACGTCGTTAGTGATTGCAAAGTGAAGATTCAGGTCAGCATTTCTTACCGTCGATTTCATCAAAGAAGATGATGCTTGGCTGGGTCTTGCGGGCTTCGTCAAAGAGAAGTCGAAGTTGTCGCTCGGCCTCACCCACCCATTTGCTCAAAGCATCCGCGCCCTTTCTCATGTAGAAAGTGACCTTTTTGCCTTCTGAGCTGACACTGTTTGCGAGAGCTCGAGCCAAGAGCGTCTTTCCGGTACCGGGAGGGCCATGGAATAGGACACCGCGAGGAGGCGTGATTTTGAACCGCTGGAAGATCTCAGGGTACAGCAATGGCAAGGAAACCATTTCTTTCAGCTGATCAATGTGCCCTTGCAAACCACCGACACTGTCAAAGTTGACATTGACATCAACCCCCAGGGGGTCTGCGTCGACCAAAGCTTGCTTGTTGGTGACTTTGCCTAGGTTTGCAGGCGTTCCAGACAAGTGCTGAGCAGTATCTCCGGATTGAGCATGGGTCGCTGCGGCTCCACCACCAGAAGCAAGGCCAGGTTGTTGTCCGCCTTCATCATCACTACTGTCACTGTCGACTCCTCCAGACGCAATAGGGTTACCAGGAGTTCCGAGAAGCGCCGAAGCACCTTGACCGCCGAATGGGCCAGAGGTTGAGAACAAAGAGCGTTGCCAACCTCCAGCTCCCTTGCCACGGCGGGATGGGGAGCCAGTCGTCACTTCGGGATCAGAGTCTTCGTTGGGAAGAAGGACTTCCGGACGGATCAGACGATAATCAACATTCTTGCGGTTTCGACGCGGCTTTTCATACACAACCTCTTGCTTGGTCCGGCGACGGTAGCGGCCCCCACGAAGGTCTTCGAGTTCTTCTGCGAGTTCTTCTGCCTCCTCGGAAGGCGCACGGGATTGAGGGATTCGTCTGCGCAGACCGGCGCGTCGGCTGGTAGAGCTGTCCTCTGCTTCCTCACGACCACGGCTTCCTTTGCCAGGCGAGGCACCAGTTTCAGACTCTAAATCCTCTTCTTCATCATTCGACCCTTCTTCTTCTGGTTCAAAGTCGCTTTCCTCCTCTTTGGTCTTGCGCTGTGAGCTTCGAGATGGCTGTTTGCGGCTAGATCGGCGTAGCTGAGATTCCTCGTTGAGTTCTGTGTCCCCATTGGCATCCTCCTCAATGGGTTCTCGGGGAAGATTGCTTCGTCGGCGGAGCTTGGGGCTTTCATCCTCGTCTTGGGAATGACCATTCTTCTCGTCACCGTTCTCCGACTCAGGAACGACATCTTCATCGGCCATTGCCTGGTCAATGGGTTCGTGACTGCCTTCAATACCGCCTTGAGGCAAGTCGCTTTCCACAGCATCCAATTGCGATCCTTGGATGGTGGTTTCCTCAATGACTTCTTCAGCTTCCTCGTCTTCGTCATCGAGGACCGTGCGCTTTGCACGGCTACCTCTGTTGAGGAGGCGGCGGGTAGCGGTATCATCTGGACTGCGGATGCCTCGCTTGATGGTCTCCATATGACGGCCAGAGTTGGTAAGAGCGTAGATATCCTCTGAAGCGCCACGAGCACGTGTCACACGATGGTACTCCAAGTACTGAGCTGGAAGTTTCAACTTGAGCACTTTGTTCTTCCGTGGAGCATGCCGAGGCTTCTCCACTTCTTCTTCATCGTCTTCATCTTCATCATCGTTGATCGCCTCCTCCGATTCGGGCTCTTCGTATTGAGGGCGACGACTTTGGGTGGTTCGGCGACGCGCTGTTCCGCGAGCATTGCGTTCGATATCAGCGTCCTCCGAATCTTCTTCAACTTCATCGAAGGAAAGATCCTCGGACAGCTCTTCATCGTCAGAGGTTATACCGTCGTCAGAGTCGCGCCGTCTCTTCTTCACCGCGGGCCGCGACTTTTTCTTGGGGCTTGGCTTCGACTTTCGGCCGGTCGAGCGTGAGTATTGGGCGTGGTCGCTGTAGTCCTCGTCATCGGAGTCGGACTTGTTGGCGACCTCCTCGAGGGAGCGCTTTGCGCCACGAGCCATGGCGCAGTGTTGATGATAGGGGGATCGCTGTTGACACGGCAAAGTCAGAACGGCTGGGGCCAAAATTAATTACACGGCACTATCACGGAGTGTGGATTGAGAGGGCAATCACCCATGCAACAGATAAAGAGACAAGAGGGCAGAGCCTCGACATTGCGCGATGCGGGCAGGAGGGACAACAACTTACGAACAATGCAGTTGTCGCCAGCGACAGCTGGATCCCCTGATCAAAGAGAAGGGTCTGCCTAATAGGGCAGCAAGTCTTGAGCAAAACTCCCGACAATTGCTGATCAATAGGTTAGCGGAGACGGCACGGTGGTGGAGCGCATTCGGGGAGGTGGAAGGGTCTCACTGACTCGGGAACGCGTGGGAAAACAAATGTCCTGGAAAACAGGCACTGGGTTAGAGGCACGAAACACTGAAAGAATTGTCAAGGAACAAGGTACGTCGTAGACGACGAAGACACGAGATTTCAAGACTTCGAAGAAGAAGGGCGGAAAGGACTCGCGCTCATTGGGACTGCCTGAATGCACCAGCCACTATTGTGGCGCTCCTTGAGCCCACCCACAATGCGGGCACGTGATGCTGATTTGGCCAATGAGCGTGCACGTGCCACCCTTCAATTGCTTCAATGCCCATTGTCACCCTCAGCGCATGAATAGAGCCCCCCTGAATGGAGCCTTATAGAAGCTCCATTCATCGGCTGAATTCGCTAGATCGGCTGTATTAGCCATTTTGACGCCCCGAAACGATATAAATGGCGGCTGAAGGGGGTGCGGGGATGACAGGCCACGGTGATGGGAGGAGGTGTCAGAGAGCAATCAGGGACGTGAAGAACAGCAGATGGGAGCCCTTGTATTTTCCCTCTGGTTCGCTGCCATTTTCTGCCCCGGACGGGCAATACTGGACCTGATATCATGTGACGGCTGACTCAGCGTGGCTAACGCTTCAAAACAACCGTAACTCATACTTCATTTACATTCTAGTTATTCTGGTTACAGACTGGATCGACTGGTGTTCTTGAGCACTGCTATCGTATTCTTTACAGCTTGCTGACCTCGTTCAATTGCTCCATCCACAAACCCTCTCCATCTGTCTGCCCAATCGGCGGTGGCAAAGATGACCCGCCCATGAGGTTTCTGGAGCTCCTGGAGAAACCGCGAGGCACAATTGGCTCCCCAACAAGCCCAGGCACCTTTTGTGTATGGATCGTTCATCCAATCATGAGTTGCATAAGCTTCAACATTGGCGGTCGGGTGAATGGCATCGTGAAACCTGTCGATAATGTGCTTGTAATCCTTCTTGTCCATCAACTGGCCATTATATCCAAAACCAATGCACCATGTCCCTGATGGACCAGAGGCCTGGGTGCCATTGTGGTCGGAAAACGCGAAAACGTAGGACGAATCGTCGGAGCTATTCGCAGTCGTAAACCAGCCCGGCCCCGTGTCTTTCAGTTTGAAATGGATCTTGGCACCTTTGTTGATATGACCCTTGGCGATGGCTGGTTGTCGAAGAGGGGACAAGGGAGGATTGAATGCAATATCCCCGAGACAGTTGCTGTTGGATAGATTAGTGTGAATAGGAGGAGAAATGGTGTGTGGAGAATGGCTCACAGCGGTATGGTCGAAACGACGGTCTTTGCCTATAGATACTCGCCGTGCGAAGTCACGACCGTCACTCCACACGCAACATGATTTATCTCTATCACGGCAGGTTCCAAACAGAGTATCACCAGTGTAATCACCTAAAATCGACCTTGCAAATGGAGTCATCCCCCCATCTCAAGGTCTTCTCCAAGGACTTTGGCAGTCCACGTACGACCTCCAATCCGATCTCTCGCTTCGAGGAGAAGTACTCTCAGGTTGTGTTATTGGCTTAGATCGCGTGCTGCGATGAGACCAGCAAATCCCGCACCAACGATGACGACATCGTATTTCTCTTGATTCGATGGGGAGCTTCTTGAACGGCATCTGTTGGTAGACCTTCCGTGGCGCCTGGGGAGTCCAAGGATATCCTTCTCTAGAAATTGGAGACATCGCAGGAAGCCAAAGACGTTAATTGGAGACCACTCTGGTTTGGATATTTTCTTGTGGTATATATACTTCTTGGCGTCTTTAAGGCAAATCGTGAACTTATGATCAAAAAAACATCGAAAATGGGGACTTTATTGCGACTGGTTCTATTCAAATTGATATAGCTAAGACAGAGGACGATCGTCGGCAACGCACTTTATTGCCTATTCTGACTTGTATTGCAGAAAATCACATACTCGGGATCTTCTCCGAAATATATACATCCCAACAACCAATGCAAGTTCAAATGACCAATCTATCACAATTTGCTCAATGGTCTACTTCCACATTTTCACGCAATATAATAGATCTTCGAAGAAAATGTAACTGTACTGCCTCGAGGGAAGTAGAAAATATCACCTGCTCCAATTGTTGCAGTTTTCCCAGACTCATCCCAAAATGTCATTTCACCTAGAAGATTTATTATTTTTCTTCAGAGAAGTTCCGAGATTCTATACCTTCCAAAATGACTCCAACCTCATCATACTCATAATTTGGAGGTGTAGATTCTGGACCTTTTTCGATGCGGAACCATGCTCCAACAATGGGATTGGCAACCTGCTCATTTACCGTCCAAAGATAATCGGCCGTACAAAAGTTAGAATAAGTTCGCTGCTATTGAAATTTAAAGGGACGCCTCATCATTGACAGACTTACCGAAGTAAACAAACTAAACATTCGGTATACCTCGGAAATTGGGGATTTTGAAGATCTCAGACCTGTCTTTGATTTGGAACCCCATTTTCAACGTAGAGAGCCAAGACACTCGTTGCAATATAATGCTTCCAAGTCTTGGTTGCCTTCTTATCTGTTGTGGTCGTTGACTTTTGAGATACTTCTTGGTGGGAGTTCAGATGTGTTGACCAATCGCGTTCATTTTCGCACTAATTTCCTAATCGGGATAGAAAGAACGATGACTGCATTAGTGGTATCTTTGGATGGACTATAATCCTTGAATGCTTGGCAAGAGGCAAGAGATTTCATCTCTATGTTTTATTGCTCGGATGCGGAGTGATAATCTATCACTTTAAACTAACGAACAACACTACACAATTTACATAGAACCATGAGACTTGAAATAAAAAGAGATGTCATTATCATTGAAATATGGTCCAAACTCGCTATCAGTTGAGTGATGAGTTTGCACATGTTCCGTTCCCACCTAATGGACAGAACCCTCCATAACAGGCCCTTCGTAAACCTTTCGGCCTTTCCAAAACCAGTAAACCATGCTGAAGATGAGAACCACACCAAAAATCAGTGATGCATAATTCATGTTCACAGGCGTGACGGGCTGGTATGAAGGAAACAACATGAATATACATGTGAATCCCAAATATACCAGGGAGATGATGTTGACCGGCACACCGAAGCCTCCAAGCTTCCATGGCCCATAGGTCAAGATTTCTGGTGTACACAAACGACGCCAAAACATAAAAATAACTGGCAGCATGTATGAAACATGAAGTCCGAAGACTGCGAGAGAAAGGATTGCGTTGAATGCCGTGGTCGAGCCAATGTTGACAAAGCCAAGAATAAAAAGGAATACAAAGACGGTTGCTACCGACCAGATGGGAACCCGGTCTTTTTTGCTAACTTTTGAAAGCTGTTTTGAGAAGGGAAAGGCTAGATATTCAATGTCAGCGTCAGTGTGTCAGTGCTGAAAAAATTGGCTCGAAGCCCAACATACCTTTATCACGAGCCAAGCACCAGAACATACGCGCTGTCGATGCCATCAGCGGAATAGTGGCCAGAGAAGCTGTCACAATGAGAGTGCAAGTCATAGCAGTCGCGGCAGCAGGGCTACCAGTAACGCTTTTGAAGATTTCAATGATTGGAAACCCGGTAGTAGAGTTGAGCGCGGTCGCCATATCCCCCATACAAAAGAGAATTGCCAGCAAAAATGCAAATCCCATAACACCATTGATAACAAGAGATCCAAGCATACACCATGGAACAGAAACCGCTGGGTTCAGCATTTCTTCACAGAGATGAATTGCACCATCATATCCTTGTGTCACAAAGTCAGCTTGGATATGCCTTTCACATAATGACTGTTGCTTACCGGCTAAAACATAGCAGCTTGAAAGCATTCCAATACTCCAAGAAACACCATCACTGGACCAGCCCGAGTTGTTTTGGAACAACGTAAACACAAAACTGGCTGAGTGTTTGACCGGAGCACACACCCACATGACCACGAAGACCACGATGAACGCAACAATATGTATAATGAGAGAGGCATCCTCAATCAAAGCCATCAGACGAGTTCCCCATATGTTCATCATGCCTGACCCCAGCAATAGTGCCCAGTATATCATCGTTCCGTGCCATCGTTGGAAGACATAAGATTCGGAGTTGAGCGTGATTAGGCCTTGGACCATTGTTGCGGCCAGGAAGGGTGCACTGGCTGTGAAGGCAACCCAGCCAAAGGTTCCTAAGACACAATTAGCTCAAGTCAAGCCCACTTTCGCTTTGAACTCACCTATCCATCCCGTGAGCCAACTGAGAATATACTGCCATTTCTTCGGAGCAAGCTTTGCAACGAAATGGTATTGTCCACCAGCAGTAGGGTACCTAACCACAGTGTTAGCTCATGCTCCGATATTCCGATGTACTCGAACTCACATTGAGGTCATTTCACCCAGTGATGCAGCAGTTGCTACAGCACCAATGAAGGCCACTAGATGTCCATGTCAGTATCTTACAATCCGCCAGCGTTAGTATGTTCCGTACTTACCAATAAAACCATAAAATAATGAGACCGGGCCCCCACTGACCAAGGCTGAAACCATTGTACTGTCCGCCGCTTCGATGAGCCCCGTTCCATGTAACCAAGTCAACGGACTTACCTTGATAGAGCCTCCCATGTTGCCATCAACACCGCAGCCATAGACAAAATAGTCAAAGGAGAATAATTCCGCTGCAAAAGAGGACAAAATAAATCAATACACTGGCTTCAGGAACGATGATTTGACTAATTACCTTCAGCCGCACTTCACTAACAACCCCTTCATCCTCATCCTTATATGAGGAAAGACCGTACTCAACGCTTTTCTTGGTTGTTTTATCCATTTCTAGTGGAGTTCCAAGTAGTGGGGAAGAAAGTAGGCGTTTCGATCTGGACTTTCGGTAGCTGCAATATTTATACGAACATAAAGCATCAAAAGTGGCAAACCCATGCTGCCTGACTATAAACTGTAAGTATTTGATAAACGGAATAAACATGTGTCTATCCGTTATGCGGCTTATCTCCTGAATGCGGGGATTTCCGAGATTCCGAACCGAGTACGGGTGGTTGATAAAACATACTGTCTAGGGAGTCAAGATGATTGGATATATACTTATAAATACGGCTGTCTAACTTAAATCTCCAAGGAAAGTACCAGTACCGGTCTGATTCAATTGGTTGTGATCCATCTAATTTATACTGACGTCCACGCGAGGGCCTGGGGTACCGAGTGGTACTGCGGAACTAAAGCTAACATTCAGGACTAGACCCGTCTGGGAGAGAAAGTACTTGGAAAACCGATTGGTCTTCCAATGCTGATTGTGCATTTCTAGTTGGGCCATGGTCTAGGAAGGACTGCCAGCTCTTAGTTCCACTTATTGGGCTGATTTTGCCATCTTATAAAGTATGTTTAATGTCGGTTACGCTTAGGCTAGAAAAACCGCGGACCATCGCGGATCATTCCGCACAATTATAAAATTACGCACGTTATAACCGAGGGATTGGGGTTTGGGCCGTCATGAGGAGGAAGCGAGCATGCAGTGGCGTGGGAACGTCATTAGCATCTTCCCGGAATTTCCTTTGTAATATCTTCTGATAATGTGATGCAGGATAAGATACACACCCACCTAGACCTTGCATTGCTTTGCTATCTTCGAATGGACATCCTATCCAAATATAGACTCCAAGCGTTCCTCAACCAATGTGTCATGCCCAACATACCCGATCCCAGTGCTTGATTGTTATAACCCGCAGTATCAGACGTATTCCACACCAGCTCGAGTAACTGCCGAGCACGAGCGATTGACTCAAGAGCAACAAAGTTATGCATAAATCCAAACCTGTTTCGAACGAATAAGCGCCAATGATGAATCATATATTCGGTAGTGCGTATAATACTTAGTTCCCGTTCAATCGTTAGACTTGGACTAGGCGCAGGATGTGAGCTCTCCGAATTGCAGTAATCGGAATCCGGCGCGTTTGGAGAACACTTCCCGCGATAATCAACGGTAATGTTAAGAAGATATTCACACGAGATCCTTCAGGCATTGTCGCCATGATGTTGAGGATACTGGTTGCTAAAGTAATAATGAAGTTTTGACACGGCTGGTCAAAATGCTGTCGTTGAGGATTCGGTATTGATTCGTCCGCCTGTACATTTTGGTCGGTTGCCGCGAGGCCAGGGAAGCCGAGATAGATCTGAATGAGTATAGACAGCTTATAAACTTGTGGTAAGCGCAGAAGATGATCCAAGGGCGTTGATTTATCTCCTGAATCTTGGATGTAGCATTGGTTGGGTGGCATAAACTGCAATAGCCGTCGCACAAGCTCCGAGTCTTCTCGATGTTGTTTAGAAATAATTTCATCTCGCACAGTTGCAGATATGTACTTTGACAGCTTGTTGGCCAATAGTGTCTGACGCGACAAAGCACCTGCTTGAGCCATATAGACAAAAAGCCGGTCTGAGGTACCGGACCACGGATTTGGGCAGATTATCTGCTCATCTTGGTCGTCACAGAGTAGGAGGAGATAGGTTTGCTGATGACCATTGATGGCCCTGACGGTGAAAATGAAAACATACCTCGAGACTTGGCTGATCTGCGACCAGAAGATAGAACAGACCGATTAGATGGTGCAACATGACTGCCTGAATACTACTTATTATCAAAAAATATACGACAAGGAAAGAAAGAAGAGGAGCTTTAAGGCGGGGAAGGCCGGCTATGATAAGGCCTTTCTTGATAGACATTGAAACCTGACATGTATAATGAGATGATACTTGAAACATATATATCATTCATTATCTGCTCCATCGGTTGAAATACTGATTAAACAACAAACAAATTCCAATTGATTTGTGTCGACTCGAAATATACTGTGAATACCTGAGGAACCAATGCCAAGCCCGCTATACCCGAAATGGACCGCTAACCTCGACCGTCACCCTGGCTCTTCGATGTTCTCATTCTCTGCTGATATTCAACAACATTAGTCTTGATCTGCAATTATAATGTTTTCTCAATCAGCGCGTCGGTTTACACCGTCCATGTTTTCTTTTCGATCCGTGCGTGCTCCTATCAGCCGACGCACCTTCACCTCCACACATGCCACAATGAACTCATCCCCAAAGCCCAGTGCCTACAAGGAAGGGGTATGTATTTGATTGCGTTAAACGTTTCCTTGGTTTATGCTTTCAGCTGCTGATCCCTATCAGATAAATCAATATAAGACCTTCACGGGCCCCTTCGCCAAAGTCTTCCTAGGAGGCGTGTTCGTCTACCAGGTGATCTATTGGACGTGGTTGAAGTTGGAGATGGATGAGACTAAGGTGCAAAAGAATGGTCAGTTTATCCCTTCACCTTCTATCGATTAAGTATACGTGTTGCTAACTTCTCCGCAGAGCAAGTGGCCGTGCTAGAAAAACAGGCCCGGGAAATCGCTGACTCCCAGAAATAATACCAATCTTGAAAATTTTGTAAAATAGATGTATTTTGAAGCTAAGCACCGTATCTAACTGTGTCGAAAACAATTGGCAATGACAATTCCAAACTGAAGACTCAACAGTCCCAAAACACCAAACATTGCAAAAGAATCTATATTAAATCCAGCCAATAATTCATTAAAATGCCCAACATGTCATACAGCAGCAAGCTTACGCTTCCGCTGCCCAACAGCAGCAGCCTTTCTAGGAGGATTCTTCAACCCAGCGTGGGACGCAACATCCAAACTCTGATCCATTTCATCAACCGAAGGCGAAAACGAAGACGGAAACCGCCAATCCTGCCCCCTTTCCCCCTTCTTAAAATGATCCCGATCAATATGATTAAACCGCTCATCCAGAGCCGCAGCACCATCACTCCGGAGGGGAACCCGTCGATCACAGAACCCACACCAGAACTGTGACCCGTCTGTCAGATCGAGTCTGTTCTTGCTGGCCGATGCTGCGACTTCATATTCATTAATGCCGTGCACACGCACGTGCTGTGTATATGTTTCTATCCTGCCGAATACCCGCTCGCATGGGGCTCCCTTGTGCGCATCGTGGGCTGTGCAGATCCAGCTTGGGACGTGGAGATGTTGGGAGGTTTCATGACGTTTCCAGTCGGCTTTGCTGCCGAAGGATTTGGCGCAGTGCGGGAATGTGCAGCCGTATGGTCTTTCGTGGCGTTTTTGGTGTTTCCTAGTGTTGGTTAGTACCTTGGATGAGAGAGTCGAGAGACTGGGATTGGGATTTGCTCACTTCATTTCACAGCGCAGCCGGGTCCGCTTGGGGCATGCATCACATTGGAACCAGCCTCTTTTGTCGCTGTTTGGGTCTTGAGTGGCGGAGTCATTGTCATCTGATAGCCGTTCCAGGGCTACTGAGAAGACCTTCTGTAACATTTGTCTTTGGGGGTGGGAGAGTTGAGTGTTGTCGGACTCGAGATCGATTCCCTCGTCGATATTCTGACTTGATTTGCGTCCGCGGTTGTTTATCATTTTCGTCATGGCATTGATGAGGTTGTCGGCTGCGTCTGTGACGGATCCGTCGGGCTTTGCCTTGCCCCGTTCCATGGAGGGATCTTGGCTTGTTAATGGCAAGCCCCATGGGCTGAAGGTAGATAATTGAGATGGTTCAAAGCCGGCAATTGATGTACCGTATTGGGTGGACTTGGGGGTGGCGGCACCGAATGTGAACAGACCTGTCTTTTCTTGGAAGACGGACTCGAGCTCGGTGGTGGATTGGACCGATAATACATCTTCCTGTTCTTCGGAAACGGATTCATCTCGGGAGCTGCGCTCGTCAAAGCTCTGTCCTGCTTCACGGCTGTTGACTTTGTCGTACCAGTCCATAGACCTGCCATGGGTTAGCATTTAATGATATTTATCTCAACTGGATGTAAAGTCAAACTTACTTCTTCAATAGCGCATCTCCATCCTCTTCGTGGTGCATCCGGTTGAGATGTTGCTTGAAGTTATCCAAGCGCGGCCATCTCTTATTTGGCCGTGGGCAGCTCGAGCCGAAGCACATATACATCATCTTGGGCCCACGCTCAGGCTCCTTGTTGTGCACGCATTTCTTATGACGGGCAAGGTCATTGATAGTCCCGAATCCTTCCTTGCGAGGACAATTCGGTTCGTCGCATTTGAACAGCTTGCGATGGCGAGCCTCGTGTTTCCTACAACCCTAGCATCAGTCCTCTGAACAAACATCGACCAAAAGGAACAAAAAACATACCTCTTATCCGAAGGACACTTCCCGCTCCACTCACAAGAGGGATGATCACACTTAAAAACTCCATCAAACATCTGCGACGGCGACCCAGCAAGTTCCGAAGTAAACGAAGACCCAGACCCAGACGCATAACGAGTATGAGAAGGCGCGGAACCTGCCGCATTCTCCTTCACACCCATTTGCGGACTAGACGAATCAACCCCATAAGTCGAAGCGACAACCGACTGAGCCGCACAACTCGTACTACCATACCCCGAATCCGCGGAATAGCTACCCATATACTGACTCCCACTCTCAGAGGGGTCACTATATTGATGATGCGATAGGCAGTATTCCTGCTCGGGTAAGGGCGCGGACATGTTCATATGTGACAGAGACGACGAGGCCGGGACGCCAGTGAGCAGGAGTGGATTCCAGGCATCCTGATCGGATGTTAGGCGGGATGGGTAGTTTGAATAGTACAGATCTCTCGGGTTGGACCACTGGTTCAGAAAAGAGGATGTGTCGAGAGATAGGTCTGATCCGAGGTGGAGGTCTAGAAGGGGTTGGGATGAGTCGAAGGGGAGAGATGAGGACTTGAGATCGAGATGCGATCTATCCATGCCCTGAAGAACATCTGTGGAGTCGTTCCAGCCGGAGTCCTGGGGGTGGGGGTTAGTATATAATTGGTGTGTGGTGTTTAGTGTATAAGATAGGGCCACGAACCTCCATGGTAATAGGTAAAAAGTTAGAGGGGCTGTCCCGGATAGAGTATAGAGAGAGAATGGAGAATATCAAGTCAGATCCAACAGAAAACGCGGGAGGGGCAAAGTATTAAATGTCTCCCTCATGCATACAAATGCCAAAACCCAACACGCGAGAGACACGCTCCACATCGCCCCGAGCCGACTTCACCACGCGGAATGTATAATTATCACAAAAAGTAAAGTTCGCCCTCGCGTGCCAGCGTGGAATGCAAGTCAGTCATCCCTTGATTGCACAGCCCCGGCTACTTATCTTAACTTGTTCTGTATAAGTTACTGTATATGTACAGTTGCATTATATGGATTAAAGATGAGGCTTATTAGCTTATTGCCTAGTCATTAGATCCCATCTCCACCGAAGATCCCGATATCCCGGAGTTGGATCAGCCCATATTCACAAATACAAGTATAGTCAGCTTACAAATAACAAACCTACACGTACGCACAACGTAAGTCGGCACAACCCCTGCACGAGGCATGCAAGACAAAAAAAAAAGGCTCAGCCTACGAAGATCCCGAACGAAACAGGGAGGAGGCTGCAGCAAGTAAGGATCGCATCGGACTCTGACAGGGTGTGCGATCGGCATGGGAGGGTGGTGATCGGCGATGCCATGTTGCAAGGGATGAAATAGTGCACGTTTAAGCGAAGAGTACGATGTGCAGGGGGATTTGACTCTGAGACCTGAAACGCGGTGAAAGTTTGATTTGGGCGTCGATCTCATGTCTCATCTCTCATAAAGTTATTGCCATTCAGCTATTCAACTATCCACGGATGGCGGACGTAGTTCGCGTGGAACTAGGGAGTGGTTCATTTCAACCCGTGGATCCTGAACCCGCTCTAGTACCAAATAGGAAAAGTACAAATACAATATGATGCCTCATATGCTATGCGCGTCCGGTTTTTACGGTCTGAAACGGAGTTCCCTAAATATGTGGTGATGTAAAAGGGGGTCATCATAGCCATCATTCCGACATAACTCGCTAAAAGTGGCAGATTCCGTTTCTGCTCATGTGCCACCTGTGGCGCTATAGCCGATGAAAATTGATGCAAATTGCCTGCCAATGACAAGGGGGAATAAGAAAGAGACATTCGAAAAGAGAAAATGAAAACAAAAGAAATGAATAAAGGGTGAAGAGAAGATAAGAGTGATCAAGGGAGTAGAATCACATCCGGGAAGAACAACCCGAGGAATAAGTGGCAGAAGAGTAGTTAAGGTCGGGTTGATAAGCATAAGTGCCATCTGCGGGGTACAAGGACTGAAACTGCATTGGATACGAGTTCATAGCTTCCGTCTCTGGAGTTCTTGGCCTCGGAACGGCGTAGGGTGGGTACGTCAATGAGTTCTGATGCAGGGGATGAGTCTGGGCCTGGGCATGAGCCTGTGACGGGTGGAGCGCTGAGCCAAACTGGCCCACTCCGTACGCATACTGGTCAGGGGTGAGCGAATCAGTCATGGACTCTGGCATGGACTCGGGCTCCTCGATGAGTGGACTGCCAGAAATAGTGGGGAACTCGACTGGCGGGCCGTTAAATGAGAACGCAGGGATGGCCGTGCTAGTGTTTCGGGTTGTGTAGGTGTTTGATGACGTTTCGAGCGGTTCATGTCCATACGCAAGAGAGGGATAGGTTGCCGATGATCCGCGAACCGGTTCCTCCTTGAGGTTGGCATGGCTGGTCAGGTTGGCAGGGCTTGGGGCGCTCGGCTTCGCTAGATGTAAGACAGGCATGGCGAGTTGCTCCATGTGTTTGCCAAGGTGGACCGACAATTTTCTCCAGTCGCTACAGACATTCCCGCAGAATCGACATGGCTCTGATTGGGCGGTTCGGTCGGTCTCATGCCGACATTCTTCGACCATTTGCCATAAACGTTTAACATCCTTTTCTCTTCGGTTGTTCTGCACAATATCGGCTTCAGAGGCCATGCCGGTCTTGAGCTTGGGCTCTGGCATTTTGTGTTCTCGTACCAAATGCTGGACAAAGTTATCTTTCCGGAAGCACGTATGATGGCATTCGGGAAATGCGCAGGTCCACCATTCCAGCTGTCGGTGTTTTTCGTTCTCGTGGCGGACCCAGTCTGCTTTACGCTTGAATGACTTGGGCTCGGTACAGCGAGGGAATGTACAGGTGAATGGTTGAATGTCCTCTTGAACGTGTTTAGACCAGTCGGACGGCTTTTGGAACTTCTTAACCTCGAAGCAAATGGGACACTCGAACTGAGCAGGGAGGTGATTGACCGGTGGGGGAGGCACTCCGGGTGGGTATTGTGCTGCAGCCACTGTACCGTCACTTGTAGCATGTTGTTGCTCATGTCCTGGACTGAAGGTTTTGACTCGGAATTGACTCTGGCCTGTCTCGGATTCGATAGGAGCCTTGGACTGCGGTAGGATAGTAGCTTTCCCGCCTTGGGAGAAACAAAATGTGCGAGACTTGCATGTCTGATTGGCGACCGCATGAGAGTGGTTTTGCTGCAATCCGACCAGGAGCTTATAGCGGCGATCTTGTTCATGTGCAAGACGGTGAAGCAAGGCCGGCTCAAGTCTCGGATTCAATTGCATGATCTGCGATTTGAACCCTTCAATTGTCGGGTCTGGAAGACTCTGGACAGCTGGGAAGTCCATTACAATGCCCTTTGTGTCGCCTATGGTGACATTGTTGTCGTTCACACCAATGGGTTCTACGTCTAGGAATGTACTTCTTGGTGTATAGGCAGCGTCTGAGCTGAACCTCCCAGGTGAGGTGATGTTCGGGACTGGTGGTCCACCATGAGCGGTCATCAAATTGATCAACCCAGGGCTGGAGGGTCGGGGAACTTCACTTCTGCTTCGTCCTCGGCCCTTAAGCGGGAGACTTAATGAATGTCTCTCGGGATTTGGTGAGGGCGCGGGTGAGACCGCTTGGACGGATCGACTACCCCCAACGGCGGCCATTTGACTAGACATGGAAAGGAGTGCGTTGGTCAAGCTCGGTGACCGTGAATGCCGACGGGTTGAGAAGACATTCCGGGGCGAGTAACTTGGTTTCGGTTGGGGTTCCGGTTCTTCACGCGGCTGAATTCCAGGGTAGGTGCTGGATTGACTGATGATGGATAAGTCGGAAGCTTGACGCTTCAGCTTCGAAGACGCCTGGATCCAAGGACGTTTTAAAAGGCTGGTACGCTTCTTCGGTTGATCCCCTAATGAAAATTTCTCAAGAGATGTAGCAACGTTGATAATGCTGTTGTTATCAATTGTCGCTGTAAGCGATGCCGTTTCCAGATCTCGAACGCGTTTCTGGAAAGCTATCATAGCATCGGTGGAGCTAGTCGGCTGCATCGCTTCTGATCTAGGCGTCGAGTCACGAGGTGGATCGTGCCAGGGGTATAAACGGAGGCCTTCATCTGGTTGATTCGGCCCAAGCGATGAATAGATCTCGGGTGTGCTGCGATCATATCTGCCTGGATCATCGACATTGGCCGGTATAGAGTCCGAACCAGTGGCTATACTTTCCTCGTCCTCGCTGAGCAGTTCGTCACTGCTTTCGTGTACCAGAACTCCAGGTCCGGGGAACGAGCGGTCCACGGAGCGATATTTCAAGCTGAAATAGTCCTCTTCTTTCAGGGGACGGTCTCCAGTGCTCCTCGCTCGAAGTCTGCTTGGGACATGGTGTCGGCGCGGAGGACTAGGTGGTTCATCGCCGGTCTCGCTGTTCGCCCTGCTCACAGTTACAGACCAGTGTGTGATGTCCTCATTCTTCTCCTCTCTTTCTCGCTTTATGAGGACATCGTTGGGACTCGGCACATATTCGTTTCCACGAGAGGATGGGTCGAGGCCAGCTAAGTGTGTAGAAGGGTGTCGAATCCATGTGCCGTTAGGAGATCGCTTGACCGAGACAGATGAATTGGATTTGTGATCATCCGATTCACTACCTTCGGACTCGCTCGATAGATCGTTCGGGTCCGCTGCGGATAAATGCGCAGAGGACTGGCTGCGGTGCCTCTGGTGGCCAGTTGTGCGTCCTTTGGGTGAATCGCCTCGAGAGAAAGTTTCAATCTTGAAAACGGGGCTCCTTCCCCTAGTCATGTCCGATGCCAACTCGTGATTTGGCTCCTGGTTAGTCGCGACGCCGAGTCGGGATGGCTCATTTAACGGGACGTAAGAGACACCGAGACCAGCTTGGTAAGAACTAGGAATTGACTGCACGGTGTTGGTATCGTCAATTTCTAGACTTGGCAGGGCAACGGATGAATTCTGATTCTGATTTTGCTCCGAGCTTGTCCTTGTCCACTTAAACACATTGGGGGCCACGGGCGAAGACCATGCGGGATCGACAGGTACGGAGGTGTCTGTCCGGTAGGATGAAAAGCTCTCATCTCGCCAGCTACTCGAGCCACTGGCCAATTCAATCGCCTGCGGTTCAACAAAAGCATTGTCGGAAAGCGGGGAGGTACACGTGCTGTTATAATCATTTCGTGGGTCCAAATAGCCCGTCTGCAGTGTGGAGTCGATCCGAGCGTCCTCATGGGAGCCCAATGTCTGCCCAGGACTCCCCGACGGTGTTAATCGAATGGCACTGGCTTGAAAATAGATTTCTTCCGGGTCGGATGCCGCAGACAAATAGGGATCTGGCGCGTGACGATCTTGAAGCGCATTGTCTGGTGAAAGCCCCTGACTGTGGGGCGAGGCCAGCGACATATTTGCGTTGCTGTTTATTTCCCAAGATCGAGCGCAAATGTCCGCCTTGAGCACAGGCGACTTCAAAGAGGCCGATCAAAGGCGAAGTGGTCCATGCAGGTTCGATATTATATAGGCGATTAAAACTGTCTGTCGGTCCGGCCCTAAATAAGGTGGGCGATGTTGAAGAACTTCCAACACGGAAGTGACAACAAGTTGGAGATATGAAGAGAGACAAAAAAAGATTGGGGGGCGGCCGATCCCAGGAGATCCCAGGATGTTAGCGAGATGAGGGGAACAGCTGAGGCTGAACAAGCGCCGGGCGCACCCACTTGGACTGCACCAAATTGAAGGGTCAGTAATCCCACTGTTCGTAACCTGCAACTAACTTGATTGGAGGTCGAAATAGTAAAGGAAAAAAGGAACAAGGAACAAGATACATGCACTCTCCAAATGAGCCTCGGACGCAGGAGGGCTGTGGCTGGTGCGAGTCGCATGATTTCCCAGGCTTACTCGGATTCCCCGAAAGAGCCAAGTTCTATAATATTTGAACACCGTTCGCCTATCGAGGTGTAACAGACCTCTTTTGATCCTGATCAATTTGGCGCCCCAGCCACAGCGTTCTATATGTATCAAAGATTTCTATTCTTATCCTCAGCCTCAGCCTCCCGCCGGATCACCTCTATAGGGCTGAAATGAGAATCCACGAGCTTGTCTAGAATACTAATGGGAATGGTTGCTTCTGGTGCTATGCAACGTGGCGGTGTTTTTTATACTTGAAACGTTGGTATCTCCACATGTTCGCCGTTGGGCATTATTTCCAGATGTAGTCTAATTATAGCCAAAGTCCATTCCTGTTCGTAAAATACTTAATTATAATATAAAGTTTAGCCCTACATCTGTGAATGTGTACCACACCAGAAAAGCTTCAAAGAAAATGGCCCCCACTACTTGCAGTGTACACAGTGCCATAGAGTATTGGACAGTTTCGGTATGAAAGCCTCGAAGCGAGTGTACCATTTCATGCATTGTTTTCGCCCTAATTTGGCCTCTCTTTCTTTACCTCTTTTCTGCCCATTTTCGAGTGCCTCGGGTTAACCATCCCGGTCATATAAAGGTGGGAGTGTGAAAAAATTGTGACCCCTGTTGTAGAACGACCACAGCCTCCAATCTTTATTGCTCTTTGGCTGTAATATCCTCCGAAACACACCGTCTCGGCCCACGGAGTTACTAGTGTCTACCTCTACATCCTGTGCATCGAAACATGCTGATATATTTCCAAGACATCCAAGGCTGGTCTGGGGTGACATCACGGACGATCCACGATGCTCCACCCCAAGATGCTCCACCGTGGACTGTAAATAAACAATCCTGTACCTGCATCTATATTGGGCTACTCTATGTCACGTTTTGAGTCGTCTAGAACAGACGTCACAGCCGGGGGCCAGCCCGGCCCCCGCCCCCAAGCCTGCGGGGTCTGAGACATATTTAGAGCTGCAATACAGACTGTCTGTTCACAGTAGCGGTGCTGCTTTTGTAGGATGGCACAATTGTGGCTTATAATTAGCCATAAGAAATGAATTTAAGGCTAATACTGACCTTAGAATAGAGCCGGGGTACCTAGAACAGACCTAAGGGAATGACTTAAGTGTACCAGGAACCAATACATAGCTATGCGGCAAATTATTTTCAAGAAATGCATTAATGATTGATAAGCCAAACACGCATTAGTTAACCGCAAACAGTCCAGTATCCTCATTCAACGATTACCAACCAATACAAACCAGACAAACCGCCAAGCAATCCCAGATAAGATAGAAAAAGAGCCTAAACCTCAGATGGTTGTAAGATCCGATCGCCACAAGCACGAAAGATAATTGGACAACCAGAACGCCACACATGCATTATCGTATCATTATCAGGAATCAGTTTGAATCGAGGTCGTCTTATCAGGAAGAATATATCCCACAGCCATAGAGAGTAAAGAGAACCACCTATCATCCTTAAACGTGGCCCAGCAAATATAGTTTCAAAGTTCCACGTTTTGATGGATTCAAGGTCTTGGCTACTGTCGGATCGTAGATAAGAGGCTTGGTTCTCGTGTTTCGCATGAGAAGAACCACCATGGAGAATGGTATATCTGCTGTAGATCCAGTATTAAAGAGCTATGATTCTGGTTTGTCCTAACAAACTATAAGTGCTATCCTCGATTGAGGCACATAACTTGGATATCACATTGTATCTGATAACTTTACTGCACACACACACACACACAGCGTGATAGAGAGTTGAAATAGAGCCAATCTCTCACAATGGCTGACGCTGTTAGTCTCTCAAGCCCTGAACAATAGCACATTATAGATTACTAACACAACCTGCAGCCAGTATACAACGCGTCCACGCCAACTGGCGGAGATCCGCTAACAGTCGACGTGAACGCCCAGTATGCAGGCCTCGAATGGAACTATACTTACATCATGTTTTGCGGGTTCATCGTGTGGTTGATCATCCCCGGAATCGGTCTCCTTTATAGTGGACTAGCACGACGAAAGTCAGCGCTGGCATTGCTTTTCCAGTCGTTGATGGTTGTAGCCGTGTATGTTGGACCTCTGCCATCTTCCCCAGTGCTTATGGAACTGACGCGAAAGACGTGCCTAGGATAACCTTCCAATGGATCTTCTGGGGATATTCACTGGCCTATTCGCGGGATGCAAGCCCGTTTATTGGGACATTAACGAACTTTGGCTTAAAGGGTGTGATGGCAGCGCCGTCGCCTGGTTCAGCTGATCTGCCTGAGATTGTGTTTTGTTTCTATCAACTTCTGTTCTGTGCATGCACGGTCATGATTGTTGTCGGCGGAGCGTTCGAACGAGGCAACATGATCCCCACGCTAATCTTCAGCTTCTGCTGGGCAACCGTCGTCTACTGCCCGCTGGCCTGCTGGACCTGGAACAGCAACGGGTGGCTATACAACCTCCCTTCACTAGATTTCGCCGGCGGAGGCCCTGTGCATATTGCATCAGGCTGGTCAGCGCTTGCCTACGCCTTCGTCTTAGGGAAGCGCAAGCATCTCGGCCAACCATCAACTGCCAAACCACACAACACGACCCTAGTCTTCCTAGGAACGACCCTGATCTGGTTCGGATGGTTTGGGTTTAACGTAAGTGTCACACCCGTGGTGCTTGTATTTTCGCAGTCGATCGAGTTTAACAACCGTCTGCAACAGGGTGGCTCAGCTCTCAACGCCAGCGTCCGAGCAATGCTAGCAGCATTCAACACCAACACCGCCGCCTGCACGGGAGTCCTAGGTTGGGTGCTGGTCGACTACATCAAGCACCGCGGAAAATTCTCCGTGGTAGGCGCATGCGAGGGCGCCATCGCTGGCCTAGTAGGAATCACCCCAGCAGCAGGCTTCGTATCAATCTGGCTAGCAGCGGTAATCGGATTCATTACCAGCATCGTATGTGCCAGTCTCCAAGACCTGAACGAGTGGCTCCACATCGACGAGGGAATGGACGTATTCAAACTCCACGGAATCGGAGGCATGGTAGGGGCCTTCCTAACGGGGATATTTGCGTCACAATCGGTCGCAGCGTTGGACGGGGTCACCAAGGTGACTGGGGGTATCGATGGGAACGGGATGCAGGTTGGGAAACAATTGGCGGAGGTGTGTGCCATTTCGGCGTATTCATTCACGGTCTCGTGTATTCTGCTTTACATCCTGAAGTTTATTCCCGGGATGCAATTGCGTGTGCATGAGGAGGCGGAAATGGTTGGGCTGGACCGGGCGCAGTTTATTGATGAGCAGATTGGGGAGCGTGGGCTTCTTGAAGATCTTTGCGGGACGCCGTCACCGGCTGGTGCCAGTGTCAATGAGGGGGTTGTGGTTGGTTTGGAGAAGAGATAGGGTCTCGGGGACTTGCCGTGCCAAGGATTGTATACATATGCAGTGTGTTACTTCGACGCGCAATCACAGGGTATTTCAACCTTAAACATTGTCAGTTTAGGTCTTACTTCCTGTGAAACATGTAATAAGGGTTCGCTATTTTTACATATAACGTTAAACACATAAACATACACATTGTACGGTACAAGTGGACTTGACGGAACTCAGACCCTGAGACCCTGAGCGGCATCAAGGGCCGATGCCAAGAAAGCTGACGTAGGCCTGTGTCTGTGGTGCATTCCATGACGAGGCCTGGAACTGTAAAGCTGACATGCATCTACCCGCAGGGAAACAATATAATCAGCATAGTAACATACAGTACTACTCTGCATCTGCATATATTGATTGAGTATTGAAAAGGAAAAGGAAAAGAGAAAAAAAGAAAAAAAAAAAAGGAAAAAGAATTGACATTTAACGGCGGTAATTACCGGTAAGAATACCCTCCTTTGCCCCAGAGCGGCCAGCCTCTTCGCCCTTTTTGCCACTCGAAATTTAGTCTCACCCGTCACGTTTTGTATCCCCGGAGCCGTCGCGTCCTCCCGCTTTTGGCTCCTTATCTCTTCTCCCCTCTACATCTTCCTGTCATTCGTTTTACTACATTTGCCTTTGCCTCACTTTAATTAGGACCCTTGTCCTTCTTCTTACCTTTCTACCAGGTTGTCATGATCTGCGAATAATCAAATCGAGTCCAAATGGGCAAATGTATGCGGTCTCACCTGGACTTCTCCTTCTGGATACTTACTGACTGCGAATTAGGGCGTTATGGTGTCGTCCTGGACGCAGGCTCGTCTGTATGTTCGACTAGTGTCGCAATCTCGGTCACTTTCCACTAACCCGTACAGGGGACTCGCGTACACGTTTACCGATGGTTACGGAATGCCGCTGCACGAAAGAACGCCGATGCGGAGGAGTTGAAATCGCTACCGGAGATTAAGACCAAGGAGGAATGGACCAAGAAGATTCACCCTGGTGAGTCTTGCTCGAGACACTGCCACCCCAGCAAACGACGCTAACACCCCCCGTGAAAGGTGTCTCTTCCTTCGCCGAAAAGCCCGAAATGGTTGGATCCGATCATCTTGCCGAATTGTTGGATCACGCCAAGGGAATTATTCCTAGAGAGGATGCTAAGGATACCCCGATCTTCCTCCTGGCCACGGCGGGCATGCGACTACTTGGAAACCTCGAGCGACAATTACTTCTGGATCAGATCTGTTCGTATGCTCGTGATAACACGGAGTTCCTGCTGCCAGACTGTGGTGTTCACATCCAGGTGATTCCGGGTGTGACTGAGGGACTTTATGGATGGATTGCGACCAACTACCTCATGGGTGCGTTTGACACCCCGGACAAGCACGACCATGGGAAAGGACATTACACCTACGGATTCCTCGATATGGGTGGCGCATCCGCTCAAATTGCGTTTGCGCCGAATGCCACTGAGACAGAGAAACACGCCAATGACCTCAAACTGCTACGCTTGCGGAACATTGATGGATCAGTCCAAGAACACAGAGTGTTTGTTACCTCATGGTTGGAGTTTGGTGTGCATGAAGCCCGCCGACGCTATCTGGAGGCCTTGCAGACTGCGATTGGACCCGAGATCAAAGAATTACCCGACCCTTGTCTTCCCAGTGGATTGCGCACGACTCTTGACGGCAAGGATGTATCGGGATCCGAGAGTGAAGGCAGCTATCTATTAGGCACGGGCAAATTCGATGAATGTCTACGTCAGACGTTTCCTTTGCTGGACAAGGATGCGCCTTGTGCGGATCAACCCTGTCTTCTGCACGGCATGCACGTTCCGGCTATCGATTTTGATGTCAACCATTTCATTGGAATCAGCGAGTACTGGCACACAACGCATGAAATCTTTGAAATGGGCTACAAGGACAAAGCATATGACTTCAACACGTACCAGGAACGGGTTAAGACATTCTGCTCCCAAGACTGGGACTCGATCGAGCATGGTCTTGAAGCGAACCAGTGGGGAAAGAAGATTAATCGTCAAAAGGCATACGAGGTATGCTTCAAGGCATCATGGATCATTAACATGCTCCACGATGGCATTGGCGTTCCTCGCGTGGGGATAGAGGAAACCACTTATTCTTCACACAATGGCACCAAGGAAGTCTTGTCTCACGGAAAGGAAAAGGGTTATCTCGATGCTTTCCAGGCGGTTAACAAGATTGACTCGACCGAAGTGAGCTGGACTCTGGGCAAGATCGTCTTGTATGCATCTTCCCAGGTGCCTGTGGAGATCGAGGAAGCCGCCCTTCCCGTTGGTTTTGGCAGCAACCTCCCCGGTGTGCCGTCAGACTTCCAATATCCCAGTGTTCAGCTGTTGCCAGACTCCGACAGCTTCCACAGCGAGCACTGGCATGATGCACTGTTTGATGGTGATTCACCCCGCCGAATCCCAGGCTTCCTACTGTTCATGTTTATCGTTGTCGTCGCCGGCTTCTTCTTATGTGGACGCAGCCGCCGGTCACGAATCTACAACCGAGTCACTAATGTCCTTCGTCGCGGCGGACCCTCCCATCCAAACCACCCAAAGAAACGAAAGGGACTCAAGGCGATGCTCCCATTCCTTGGCCGGAATTCCCCATCCTACGAGCGAGTCCTCGAAGACGGCGCCCAAGACTTCGAACTTGGCGTGACCGATTCGGACGGCAGCGAGGATGGAGGCCGTCTCTCCGAAGCCGACTCAGCCAGATTGGGACCACCAAAGCGAGCCTCCAGCTGGGGCAGCAACAGCAATACTCCAAGCTTCAAATACGCGTTAGACAACAGCTCAACAGGGACGATTGGCCTCGGGATCAGCGGCGGCTCCGGAATCGCAATGGATCGAGCAGGCCTAGTAGTCAGGACCGAAAGCAGGGACCATCTTGCTCCCATTGCTCTGGGCCCCACAACCAACGGCCGCCGATCAAGAGCCGGCAGCCCAACAAGATCCCACCACCAAAAATCACCCAGCTTGACACCACTCGCAGACGACTAACGCACACGACCCCCGATTTATGCATAATTACCTACCTTTCCCGCATCGTGTTTCATTTGGAGTTGGATGATTTCTACGTGTCGATTCTTTCGGCGCTGCCTTCGTTTTTGATCGAGGACTTGGTCCTTTGTGGAGTGCTGCTGTTTCGTGGCTTTCTGCTTTCGATTCTTGGTATTATATTACTCACTGTGCTCTGGAGTACCTTATGTTTTTGTGTTTGGTTGCCGTGCTCTCGATCTTATCCTGGTGATTTACACGTAATGAGGAGTGTACCATTAGCGGAGAGTCGTTTTGAATATAGACTAATCATTGCCTCAACTTTACATTATCTTTACATTATTACATTGTAGTGAATCAGTTCAGACTAACTGAGTGTACTGTATCTACTATCGTTGCATTCTCGAAGCTATTGGTATCGAATCTAGGAAGATCTGTCAAAGTTATAATTTGTCTGATTGATTCAGAACAAAGGAGAGGGGAAACACAAGCATCAAGCAGTAGGAAATCACTTCACCTAGAATATGCAATCGTGATAGGAATGGTCCTGGAGTTGTGTTACTGCAGGCTGCACACGTGATATCAATCTTGTTTCCAACGTCACCCCAATATTCAGGCCTTATATATGAGCACGTGACAGAAACGGAGTCACCGCCCGGCAAAAAGGGCTTCGACATAGCGAGAAACCGGCGCAAGCAGCTTCCAATTCAATCATTACCCTCGACAATTAAACCTGTTGCACGCCATATTACCTTTGTCTATTCCACCTATGCAGTCACGATAAAACTTACTCCTCCAACAAACCCTATCACCGGCTACAGCCACCACCGCCAACATGCGCTTGACAGTCGAGCTCATTCAGAATTCGCTCTCATACATCAACCCGCTCACAGACCGCGAGCTGGATCTCCGAGGTGCGTCCAAGAACTACAAACCTTTCTGAAAAGAACAGGTACTACCCTTTGATCTGAGAGCTGGGTTGATATCGTCTTTTTGCGCGTGCAGGGCACAAGATCCCCGCCATTGAGAACTTGGGTATTGCCAAAGTAAGTGCTGCTCTTGCATGATGCAAGCTTGACCTGAATTTGTGGTCTGCTGTACTGGTTGCTGCTAGCCCAGCTCCAGTCGGTTTGGCCACTGCTTTCCTGGGCCCGGTGTTAACCTCTCACAGGATCAAGATGCGATCGACTTCACCGACAATGACCTCTCCTCCCTCGGAAACTTCCCTCACTTCCCTCGCCTTACTACCCTCCTCCTCGCTCGTAACCGTATCAATCACATTCAGCCGTCCCTAGCAACCTCCCTGCCTAATTTGAAGACCCTGGTCTTGACCGCGAACAACCTTTCTGAGCTGGTGGAGCTGGATGCGCTGCGGAGCTTGACTAAATTGACGCATTTGACTCTTATGGAGAACCCAGTGACACGGAAAGAGGTTCGTCGTCTTCAAAATAGCAACAAAAGAGTCCATTCATACTAACCACCCCTCAGAACTACCGCTACTGGGTCATCTGGCGCATTCCCTCAGTCCGCTTCCTGGACTACCACAAAGTGAAAGACGCCGAGCGCACCCAAGCAAAGGAACTCTTTGGCACCTTCGAGGAGCCCTCATCCCTCGCATCCAAGATCCTCGGCGTCAAGTCCCGCACCTTCGACGTCACCAGCGCAGCCGAGCGCGCCCCCACCGAGAAGGGCATCCGCGTACAACTGACCGAGCAGGAGCGCAAGCGCGTGGAGAAGATGATCCGCGAGGCAAAAAGTCTGCAGGAGATCACGAGGCTAGAGAAGGAACTGAACGAGGGCCGGATACCGGGTGGAGCACTCGGCGCGGAGGACGCGGACGGGGACGTGCAGATGTAAAGCAGACTTCGTCTGTGTTTGCATTGTATGGACCTACGGGGCCATGAACATACCACTATTCTTTCTGTTCTTCTCTTCTCTTTCTTGGGGCTTAGCTTTCTGGTTTTCTTTTCTGGTCGTTCGGGATTCTCATATACCTGGCTTGAATTCCTGGGGTTCAGTGTGTATCATCTTGAGGGTTTCATTGCACGTGCCGTTAGCTGTTGGCTGGCTGGCCGTGAAATTTGAGCATCGAATCAAAAAAATGCATTCAATAAGTGTACTGTATCAGGCATGGGGCTTTGTTTGTAGAGTTCTCACTAACCAGAGCCAACCGCTTATGTCGCCTCCTATCTATGGACGAGAAGGAGTCTGATACATGGCAACCAGGCACCCCCAGCCCTGCAGATACGGTTCAGTAAATGACAGCCGATAGTTAGACTTCTTCCGTAGCTTATTCCACGCCACCACCAGGATCTGTTCGCAAATGCTGATCGGATTAGGGGCATCAGTAGTAAGTAATAAAACACGGCAATTGATATAAGGCTGTAAAAAGTAAATAGTATGCATATAGCACGCTCTATAGATTATATTATCGACACCTTGGCACTATCGAAGCATAACTTAACTTATATCTAAATATACATGTAAATGTATAGTGGAGATGCAGTAGCGAGGCCTTCAGAAAAAGACATAATCAAGCCACTTCTGGCTAGCCCCTGCTACATAACCCCATTGACTCCGGGAAACATTTAGCCGAGAGACGCTTCTAGATGCATAGAACCAATAAGTAAATAAATACAACAGAAATAGTGTGGCTTACTGTTTGGTAATCCGGGGTTCAGGCCAAACCTACCAGGGTTTGAAGCGGGAGTGGCTGTCAAATTCAAATGACAATTGAATACTCATGTAGGTGTCTACGGAGTACATGTACAGAGTAGCCTAGACATAAAAGCCAAGCGAGGGACTCATATTAATCCCACCAAGACGGCAATTCACCCGTGCATATACTGTAAGATGGGGCACGCTACTGTATCCAACACAACATGCAACTAAAGAAAAAAGGAATGAGGCTAAACATGCAAAGCAAGAAATAACAATACTGTAGCAATACTGTAGCAAAAGAAAAAGAAAAACAAAAAGCCTCGGCTAAGATTCGGCCATGGTTCGCATGGTATGACCACCAATGTTTCCTACTCTACACAGTCTAGACCCAGTTTCAGCGACGAGGCCAGAAAAGCAGGAAACAGGATCAGAGATTCTCCGGGCTAGGAAAGTTAGGGCTTATATGATGTTTTGAGTGGAGCATTGGGTTTGGATGGGGGGAATTCCGAGACACGATGAAAAGACTGACTGTTTTGGGAGGGATCATTTCCTACTTAAGGCTGCAGATCCGGTTGGTTTGTGTTTGGATTTTGAGGTTCCTTCAACAGGGGGGGAAGTTCGATGTACCAGCCCCTCGGTACATATCAAAGAACATCTCAGCTTTGTGTACATGTATGCCTCGGAGTAACTTAACGTTACATGTTCCATATGTATGAGTTGAAGACAGGCAAATTTTGTAAATAGAGAATCTGATGATCATCTAATAATAGACGAGCCATGACGATATTCCTTTTAACTGTCACGTTTTCACTTCACAAGACAATCAGGTGTGGCAATTGCATCGTCACAAACCTGAAGACCAAGATTGCCATATGGTTGCCCAGTAAGTTTCCTAGCCTTGACAAGAATATAAACCGTGCTGAGCTGGTATTGGGCGCTCAATGAGGCTGAAGTTCATGCCGTGGGACAGTGGGTCCAGATGTATAGATAAAGTTTGCGGCGTGGATTTCAAGGAGGGTTCGTGTAATCCGAAATAGAACGAGAATACAACCGACCGGATATTCTGACTAGTGACACTCGACAACTTCGATTGTATGTAAAAATCACCTCGCCAAGTCAATCCGGGGATGGCTGCGACTACTGACTCATCCACATGTAGAGTCGCAAATCCATACAAATTGTCTATTTCATCATTCTTATCTCTTTTTCTGCTCATTTTTCATACCTATAGCACAACATTAACTGACAGGAAAGCCGCTGCCGAAAACAGCTACCTTTGACGCTGTATTTTCTCATTTACATGCATTCTCGGCCGCTTTAAATTTGACCGTAGAAAAGTGGAGACCAGGGAGGTAAGCGACGTCGGCCAATTTCAAGTTGGCCATTTGCAATATTTGAGTCATAAAAATATAGATAAATAATCAACGAGTACGTACTATGTTTAAATGCACTCCTTGCCTTCAAGTCTTGTCTGGCGTTATGGCTTCCAACTATACCTACTCGTTCATCCGGGTCTCGAAGACAGACGGAGTCGGCATCTCCGCCCAAAAATATCGAGACCTACGCTTAAAAGCATTGAAGACTTCACCTGATTCTTTCTCATCTACTTATGATATCGAAGCGGCGTTCACCGATGCCGACTGGGTAGATCGCCTCACTGTTCCCGATCGAGAAGTCTTTATTTGTGCTGCAATACCACTTAGCCACGATCCATCATGTCCCGTTGATATCCAATGGATCGGCCAGGTCACTCTACGAGGACCTTCATCCAGGACTGATTTCGAGTTACCCGTGGAAGCTGGCCAGCCACCCCAAAAGTCCGACGAAGAGGAAGAGCGATGGCAGATGCTGAGCTTGTTTACGCTTCCGGAATATCGTGGCCATGGACTGGGGAGCAAGCTATGCCTAGAGGCTCTGAGTTATCTTCGATTATACCGCTCATTCCCTCGTAACATTCAAGTGCGGCTTATCGTCAAGGCGGGGAATACTGTTACGGTGGAATTGTACCGACGTCTTGGATTTATTCATGCCGGGAGGGCTACCCTTATTGAAGCTCTTATCGCGAATGGAGATGAGTATCTTCTTCCGAAAGATCGGAGCTCGGACGACTCGGAGAGAAAAGGGCTGATTATGATTTCTCGGATATCGCGCTCATAATGTCTTTCAGCTTTTCATGTGTAATAGCAATAGAATAGAGAATTAGACTTGAATAAACAAAACATTCACCCCATTATCAAAGAATTATTGCCGCATGGAACTGGGATAAGAGGGGTCAATACTCGGGGGGATAAAAGAGTCGTGGCAGTTTTCGTAGTATATTGTACAACAGAATAATCAAAACCTAATCTTCCTATCTGGTAGCTTATCTGCTCACAGAATTGATCTTTCAAACTGATTGATGCTGACATCAGTGTCGTCACAGTTTCCCAGGTGTGCTTGAAACTGCACTGTCATCTGTATGGGGAAATCAGACTGCCAATCTAACGTCAGTCCTCCGGTAGAAAGTACTTTTCGAGATTACATTCAAACAATCCAATCCTAGATTAAGAGAACTAAGCATACGTAGACCCATCCCCGCTGTTCTTGGCGTTAGTGACACCACCCTCGGCCTTGTACGAGTGGCGCTGGTCCCGAACACAGTAAAGGGAAGCCTGGTACCAAAGCCGACGGAGGCCGACTATGTCACACATTCTTGAAGAAAGTTCATCGGAAAGAATTAGCAGGTAGGCGCTGATGTCGAGGATATCAATGACCCTGGCACTAAAGCCGACGGAGGCCGATCCGGACGAAGATCCTTCAATTTAGTTCACCTCTCGGTCATCGATCAGGGCTTTCTGGGGTTAGTTATCCCTAGCATTGTTGATCGGTGCCGGAATGAGGTTGACCGAGGTAGATCTTCACTACGTGACTCATAGTTGCCAATCGGCTTGGCCGTTACAAGCATTATCATGCCAAGTCTATGGCTTCATACTTGCATTATTGCACGTGAGAACAATACATTGTATTGCAATAGAAGTCATTTCTTATTGGGCCGAGAGGTACCCAAGGATTCTAATTGCAGCAGGAATTGCTTTTCCGATAGTGGGCAAAGGCATGCAAGCATTCACGGAATATTTTGACAGGAGCCTAAAATAGCTAGGGTTATTCTAGAAGTTCTTCAAACAACTATTGATTGCTTTGAAGTGTAACTTTCTAGAGAAATTATGCCTAGGGCTTCGTTTGTAGCATTCCTCTCGAGGGTATCGGCTCACGATGGATCTTATTTCAAACTACCTGTGGCGCAACAACGGACTCGGGATCCATATAGTACCAGTGCCGGCTTTAAACATGGATTTCAGGTAACCACCCTAGAAGATCGGCCCCTCCTTCATGTGCTTTGCGTTCAATTGAAGAGCAGCAAGCTATACCCTACTTCCCATTTAGGTATCGACGTTGAACGCCTTGGCTTGCTTTGCTGTCTGCCAAGCTGCAATGCTACCTTCTTATCATGGTTTTGCTAGCAAATGTCTGTGGACGCTCGATTTGAAGTAAAGAACTGGATCTTTGGGAGATACGGGTGTGCTACAAGCATGGACGTGAGGATGGGCTATTGCAAAAGCCCTGGGATTTGCGTATATAACCACGGGGAGGCGCCGAGGGGAAAATACAGGTCTCTTGGAGCGAAACAGCAGCGTTGGTTTTCAATATGTCAGATCCTAAGCAGAATAGCCCTGGGGCTAAGCCAATGCTAAAGCGTATCTCTCAGAATTTGCGATATCGCATTTTGTTTGTTTATCGCAGGATATTCTCTCTGGTTTGGCTTGCAAATATCGCAGTCCTTATTGCCTTCTTTCTGGTTCCAGTTGATCGAAGATGGCTAACAACTATTGCGTTGGTCAATCTAACAATCTCTATTGTTATACGTCAGGACTTTATTATCAATCTGATCTTCACGCTTTGCTGCGCCGTCCCATTATCCTGGCCACTGGCAATCCGACGCCGAATGGCTCAAGTATACCATCTTGGGGGAATTCATTCAGGCTGTGCAACCGCAACCGTTTGTTGGTTTACTGGGTCATTTGCCCATAGCATCCGGAACCGGATACACAGTCCTTCACTGCACGTTTCTTCCGTAGCAACCACCGCCCTCTCCGGAATCGCCCTGGCGATGCTCGTTGGAATGGTCCTTTCTGCTTATCCCACACTACGCAAACTATACCACGACAAATTCGAAGCCATCCACCGATTCTTTGGATGGTCTGTACTTGTAATTGTGTGGGTCCAAGTTATGCTTACAGTGAGGGACAACAAGCCTCCTCATCAATCACTTGGGGAAGCTGTAGTCTGCTCCCCAGAGCTATGGCTTCTCATCACCATTACCACCAGCATTGCCACATCATGGACGTTACTTAAGAAAGTCCCTGTCGACTCCGAGGTACTATCAGATCATGCTTTGCGGTTACATTTCCAATATACCAATGCCATTCGCGGGAGCTTCATCCGACTTTCTGAGCGCCCACTGCTCGAATGGCATTCCTTTGCAACTATACCCATCGCCACAAACGAGGATCAGAAAAGGGGATGCTCAGTGATTGTTTCAAGGGCTGGTGATTGGACTAGTCGTCAGATCAGCAAGCCACCGACTAGAATTTGGGTTCGCGGTATTCCCAGTAAGAGTCTCTGTTTCGCAATTTAGCTACATGCCAATGGCAAATGCTAAGCTCGTTCAGCTATGGGAGTGATGCGAGTTGCATCCCTATTTCGAAGTGTTGTCTTGATTGGAACAGGGTCTGGTATTGGGCCACTGCTAGGACACGTACCCCCCTGTCGACTGCGGTTGATATGGTCGACACCCAGTCCTCTCAAGACATTTGGTCATGGTATTTTAGACTCCGTCTATAAAGCTGACCCCGAGGCTGTTGTTTGGGACACACGAGAAAACGGCCGTCCTAATTTGGTTGAGATTGCTTGTCATGCAATGCAAGAGATTGACGCCGAAGCTGTGATTATTATTTCGAATGAGACTGTCACACGCATAGTTGTGGGAGCAATGGAGAGGAAAGGTGTTCCTGCGTTCGGAGCTATTTGGGATAGTTAGTTTGTCTAGCTGGAATATGGTCTTATAGATTGATTTTATTGTGGAAGGAAGCTTTTAGTTGAAATTTGATGTCTCAAAGTCATATTGAATCTTGCCTAGCAATGTTTGAAAAGTTGTTACCAGCCACCATAGCAAGGCCTCGGTTATGATAAGCTGCATGACTGCCCCCAGAAGCAAGCCCTCGTTCTTGGTCTCACTCATTGTCTCCCTCGTCGCCCTCTCCAGTCTCCGCGCGCTCTCCATCGTCGCGCTTAGGCCACAAGCCCTCAATATCCTCTCCAGGCCACAGACTTGCGTAAAGTGCACGTGCAGGTTCCCAGTCATCGTAATCACCATCAGATCTGCAATAGTTAGTAGGATGCCATCAACAGAAACGACGCCATTCCGCCATACCCAACACCCATGCGCAGAGGCGCCAGCTTCCAAGCTCAGAGAATGATGCACGAAACGACGATGTCGTATGGCTTTCGCGCAGTCTTGCAGAAGCTCCATTCACCTGGCTTGCAAAGGCGGAAAGTCTCATGGCCGTCATCGTAGATACCGTTGATGCCAATGCCTCTCTCAAGGTCCACAAGCACAGGGGTGATGGTATCCTCCGGGGTGCACATCCCAGTGAGGGGAATACCTGCTTCCTGGATGATTTTAGGGACGTCTTCGATGAGCCGCCTCCAGGCTGCCTGTCATTCAGGCGAGTCCCAGTCATCAACACTGTAGTAATGGGTGTAGTTATCTTGTGTCAGTGGATTATGTACTAGAGCATCCTAGCTTGACATACCCCATTTTGCCGATCAAGAAGACGAGCAGCTTTGGTTTGTATTGGAGGTGGAAGGCGGGGAAGGAAGGAGTAGAAGTCAAGCAACAACAACAAACTTATACGAAATGCTGAGAATAAGTGCGTAGATGGCAACACATTTGATTAGGCTGCAATGATGTTCGTTGAGCCGCTACTTGCGCACATCTGCAACTATCCGCGATACGTCACAACTGCCAGCCCAACATACATAGCCCTGCTTCCTACTTATTGTACAAATCATCCCTACAAGAGTCATTCTTGAAACATCAAACAAGTCACTCAAGCTCCATTGAGGGGTTGGTGATATGCCACACCATCAACAGTCGTTGTCAATGTGCCATTTGCCTCGAAGATATTTTCAAGTGCATTGATAGATAGATGGAATCCACCAGGACCGGTTATTTTGGTCGCATTCTCTGCTCCAGCTTGTAAGAGATCAGAGTACCAGTCCACATGATTAGCCCAGGGGTCTGACGCCTCTAACGTCACAGTCACCGACTCATACCCATTGATGAAATGGATTCCGTCGTCTGAGTAATTCTTGTACTTCACGGACACGGTTTTGAAAGTGCCAAGCTTCGGGTCTTTCACCAAAGCCACCTTGGCAAAGCCACTTGATTGGCCGTTGAGCGTGAAGTTACCTGCAGGCAGAGTATAGGGTGTGGGCACACTTGCACCAAGTGGGAATGGAGTGGCCCACGGAATCTTATCCGGCGCGGCAAAGACAGGGGCCTCATCTGTAGGTTCTCGGTCTGAGAGGCGCGCCAGCATTACCCGATATGTTCGACCACCTTGCGCGGTGGATACCGGGCATGGAAGAGGATTCTCCCCTCCACACGCAGGGGAGACTACCAGACTCTGCCAGAACACGATGCGTGTGCCATCTGGGGAGAAGGCGGGATCGGCCTTGCCGTTCCAATTAGGATCGTTGACACTGCCATCGCTACCATCGCCTTTGTAGTTCACCTGTTGACCGAAGTACTCGCCTCGGTCACCATGGCGATCAATCAAGATAGGCTGGAAGAAACGACGGGCGCCGTTATTGCGTGTGGATGCAGCCGCAGTAGTGGCGACGATATCAATCAAAGGGGGTACGTGGCGCATTCCTGACATCCACATTTGACGATCTGAGCCTCGGGTGTCCATCGTCACAAACCATCGATCATCGTGTGAAAATGCGACCGGGTCTGCGTATTCGGGATGACTAGTGAGACGGCGGACTGCGCCAGTAATAATGTGAACAGACATGATATCAATGTTGTTTGCCTCGCGTGTGGCTCCAATATACAGAATTTCATCTCCGGAGCCGCTGAAACCTCGTAGTTCGCCAACTGTGATAGCTTGGTCGTGGAGTGTCAACTCTGAGCCATGTGCCATTATGGGTGATTTTCCATTTGGTTGAACGAGTAGGTTCACATCCACTAGATCGTATCGAGGGACGCGAAGGGTTCCATTCGTGGGATGTGGGTTGAACTGCAGTCGACCATAATAGGAATTTTCGCCGCCGGAAGTGAAGGAACTCCAGCCCATGTGAATATCGTCTGGGTGCATTCGCATTTCCCTTGGAGTACCGGAGCCATTTACGGATGTGGGCCAGTAAATCGGGTAGATATGTGTTTTGTTCGGAGAACATAAGTCGCTGACCAGTGGAATACCACCACAATCCAGAATATTGTGACCCCAGAGTGCCTGGCGAGCATTGCGAGCAACGTGAGGATAGTCCTTGGAAGGGTCAACAGATCGCGCATGCTCTGAAGGCACACCGCAACTTAGACATTTCCAGGGGTCTCCATTGGTGAAATTTGTGCCGTCCGTTTTGACGAGAATGAGCTGTTTGTCCCTGTATATGCTGGCTGGATCAGGGGCCACAGGGGCACCGATGAATTCCACGGTGACAGCGACGTGGTTTCCATCGGGTGTGAAATCACCAGCTTGGAAGGAGTCTGAAACTTTGCCAATACAACCGGTGCGATGGGGATTGATTGAGGCTGTACACGCGCCCTTGGCATTAACTGGGGCCACTGGTGGTAAGGGAAGCTCAACGACTTCTATGAGTTCTGGCTGAGGAGGTGGTGGGGTATTTCCGGCCAGAGTAAGGGCGGCTGCACCGGTGATAGCAGAGAGGGTCCAACGCATCTTGCGGGACAGGGCGCAGGCAAGAGTTGATTGAATACACTTTTCAGGGATAACAAGCTGTGGCATAAGCAGTTCTTATAGCCCAGCTCTGACAAACCGAGGAAATTAGCATTATGGTTCATAATGGAACATATCAGCCAAGATGGTGATGGAAGCGAGTACGGGCACGGAGTAGATCCACTCGTCCCTGACTATGGCGTGCAGGTTACAGGAGAATTAACCCGTCTAGGTAACACTTTCTTCACATCAAGTGTTTCGAGAGACTAGTGGAAAAGTTGGTTGACGATCGAAGTTATACGCGTACCCGTATCCGTATACATTTTCCTTTCGGAAGAACCAAAAATAACAAGGATTTCCACCTTTGCAGACCAGTTCGTGCACATCCGAGCTCAGGTTCAAAGATGAATAGCATGAATATAACATTTCTAAATATATTCCCATGTCTTTGCCTATACTTGTTGCTATGCATTCCCCAAGTGTGGGGTAAGAGATAAGCGGGAGCCAACTTGCCGATGTCGGCAGTGTGTCTTCCATCTCTAGGGCTCATATCATTGAATTTCACATCTAGTCTTTCCGATTCAGAAGATCAGTAGTATGCACTATCCCTGAAAGTCACCACCGGAATGGACCCAGCCGCCGTCCGTCGACGGAGGAGGCGAGTTGCCGATCAGAATCGGAAAAGGGCCCCTCGAGCGTATGCAGCTTCAAGGTTCGGTACTTGGTGTACCCACTAACGCTATTACCCCAGATGCGATCGCTGCAAAGCGCGAAAAAGCAAGTGTGTGGAGTCGACCCCGGGGACGTGTCAGCGATGCTCTTCTCGCAATTTGGCCTGCCAATTTGAAAGGTACGACTGATTCAGTGCAAGATACACCCCCTCTTAACTATTACACAGAGAGCGATCTGTTTCAATCCACGATCAATATCCACCCGCATCCATTGAGCCGATTGAACATGGTATATCGGCCTCCCGAAACAATGAGGTTTCTCGTCCCGTTGATTCCATGAATCCTCATGATTTACTCTCGCCATCCACGGTCTTGTCTCAAAGGCTCGCTGAGCATGTTGTCACAGGCCAATCCAAAAGAGTTCCATGGCCAAATATCTTATCCCGGCTTCGAGAGGCCTTCTCGCTAGATGCACATGTGGCCCCCGAAGAAAAGGAGATGCTTGCAATGCAAGCTGTAAGTGACTTGTTTGCTCTCAACCCCAAAGTGAGGGTACATAAATTGATAGTATGAAGCATATGGCTGGTCCAAAAGCACTTCATTCCTCTGAACTGGCACGGTTGCGTACTACAATAGACGCCTTCCCACCACGTCCGATAGCCGACTTCCTATTATCTGTCTTCATCAAGCATGCAACAGACACTTTCTTTTACTTCGATCAAGATCAGGTATTGAATGAGATTGACCAGTTCTACAAAGATCCCAGTTCACCCCTGAGGTCTGATATAAGCTTTGTCTGCCTCGCAATGGCAGCATTCGCCCTAGGGAGTCAGTGGGCACCCCTCGAGAGACCACATGGATCGGCCATCAGCCTCCATCGTGATAATGATGATTTGGGTCGAGTCTTCTATAACCATGGAAAGTCTCTCATTCCCGACATCATTGACAGGCCATGTCTCCGATCTATCCAAGCACCCTTTTTGCTGGGTGTGTATCTAATGCCAGCTAGTGCGATTGGATCATCATACGTCTATATGGGGCTGGCACTGCGCAAAGCGCTAGCATTTGATCTTCATATTGACCAGGACGATCAAGTGATCAATGACCGGGAGAGAGAGGTCCGACGTCGGTTGTGGTGGTCAATATATTCTCTTGAAAGGTTGGAAAAAATGTCGCTACTGAGCTAGATTGAACGGCTAACCAATAATAGATGCACCACTGTCAAGCTCAACAGGCCTCGTTCTGTCGGTATCGACGTAATTAGAGTACCTTATCCGTCCCCTTTACCAGCACTAGATCGTCTACAGAAATATGACAATGTTCAATTTCAAATGGCGTACACCCGTTTGATCAGAATACTGGATCAGATCGCCGAGCCTGGGTATGTGACATTGTTTCAAGTGATAGTACATCTACTAACACCGGTTTCAAGAGGGTCATTAAATGAAACAACAGAGCAGTCACGCGCTGAAAGTTGGGAATCTGATCTTAGGCAGTGGAAGAAATCACTACCACCAGATTTCAAGATTGATACCATGCACCCGAAAGACTCCAGATACCGCACAATATTTCACCTATATCTCAACTATTACTATGCATGGATCACAATCGGTAAAGTAGCACTTGTGACCGTCGCCCGAACAAGCCCTCGCAGTCATTTACAGCCATGGTCAAAGCCGTCTGAAGCAAGTGACCTCATTGTGAGGCAATCCCGATCCTGCGCAAAGGCAGCCAGAAAACTTCTCCTGTTATTCGAAAATCTCACGAGCACCGGCAATATCACTCGTTTCTCATTCACGGACTTTCAAGGATGCAGCATCGCAACCATTGTGACACTGGTGGCTGGGATCATGGAACGTGACTCGGGGTATGAAGCCCGGGTTACATTTGGTCTTGATTGTCTCCGCAAGATGGCCACTGGGAATATCACAGCTAAAATGGGAGTGAAATTTGTCGAGGCCGTGCAGTCTATAACGAACGAGGCTGCGGCCAAAATCCACCGAGCATCATCTATTCATACAGAAAGCACAGAGGATGCTCAGAGCTCAGCTTCTGCATCTGAGTACCATCAATGGGCGGCATGGCACGCTGAGATGGAACCTTCTCAGACAGAAGAACAAGGCGTTATTCCCTACAGAGGCATCGAGGTAGAACCCAATGTGCCTTACTCAAACACACCTCTGTTGCAGTTAGGGCAGTCAAATGTCCCGAATACCTCTGGTTGGAAGACTCCAAATGACCAAAATTTTTCAGAAACTTCGCTCCTCCCTCAAGACCTCGCACATGGATCAACGATGGCGTGGGGAATACAGTCCACAGATGATGATCACTTGTCGGCTCTGCAAAATGATGACCCAGCATTCCTCATGGGTCTGACTGGGTTTGATCTTTTGGATTTCTCTGGCTTGACATGACCTATTAATGTATCTATACGAAGCACATTCGTCTGTTATAGATTAAAAGAACTGTTTCATTCAAATGGCCATTTCAAAATCAGAATGCATGTGTCATAATACCAAAGTACCAGCACCAACAACATCCAAAACAATCTAGGCCATAAGTCCTTTCACAACCCTCCTGTGGCTTTGTCCTCGCAAGCCTGGCCACCGCAAATCAAAAGTGCTACGGCTCTCGGGAATTCAATCGTGGGCAGGGTCAACGTCATTTCCAAACCAACCTTAGGCGGACCTATCCGAATACGAATTGCCCGGCTGGATCTACGTGGGTACGCCAACCGTCCCTCCCTTGCAGGCACTCATGGCCAATCCCTATCCTGGTCCTCCTACTCTTCACGAGCCCGCATCCGCCGTTGAGGAACTAGATGACATGGAGCCTGTCCTTACTTGTTCCGACCTTTGCGCCCAGCTGTCTAAAGCTGCTTCCACGGAGGGCAATACCGTCGATATCACAACTGATTCTTTCTTGACCACCAACCACCCGCTGTGGGCCCTGGATACCTCTTCCATTCCACTTGTATATTAAAGCACAGCCCGACGCACTCAAAAATGGGCAAAAAAGAGGTGAAAAAAGGGCTAAAGTAGGGCGAAAACAATGTACGAAACAGCATACTAGCTTCGAGGCTTTTGTGTAGAGACTGTCCAATACTTCTTCAGTGGCACTGTATATGCGTTATGGCCCTCGTGGTAATTTACCAACGATAAAATCATTGAACTCGAACAGGAATCTGACCATTCTCAAGCAGCGCATTCCATCTGCTCTTGTAGACACGACCATCCTTCATAACCCCAAGAACATGTTCATCAGGTCTATCAAAAACAGTAACATCCTCCAGCGGATTCTTATTCAGAACCACAATATCAGCATAGAAGCCCTCCTTAATCTGACCAATAGCATCCTCCCAGCCCATCATTTTCGCTGGGTTGATAGTGGCACTGCGCAGAACCTCAATAGGCGTTAGAACCTGGGATCGCAAAGCGAATTCATGTGTCTGCGCTGATCCCAATGGTCCTAGCAAATCAGACCCATAACACATAGTAACACCAGCCTCCGAAGCAACTCGTAAAGCGTCAAGCCCAGATTTCAGCACAATCTGATTCTTCGTTTGGGATTCAATAGGCAGATAGTGCTTCCATTTCTCCGATGCCATTTGGGCATACGCGATAAGTGTAGGCGTCAGATAGATACCCTTCTCAGCCATGATCTTCGCGGTAGGCGGGTCAACGAAGTTTCCATGCTCAATGCCGCGAACACCATTATCGATACAGTGCCGAATAGCCTTGACGGTGTACGCATGAGCCGTGACGAAAGTCCCAGCATTATCGGCACATTCCACCATAGCCTGGATCTCCGCAGCGGTAAATTGAAGATGTTCCAGCTTATCCGTGGGAGAAGCCACACCGCCAGAACCCATGATCTTGATAAAATCAGCACCACAACGAATCTCTTCACGAACGGCAGACATGCATTCCGGTACGCCGTTGCACATCCGACCGAGATGGTTGTTGCTATGGGTACCACCACAGCAGCCGGTAGCTTCATGGGATCCGCGCAGATCACCATGTCCTCCAAATTGGGACAGGGCATGGCCAGAAAGGAAAAGTCGGGGTCCGGGGAAGACGCCGTCCTCGATGGCTTCTTTCAGGGCAAGTTGCGCACCGCCACAGTCGCGGATGCTGGTGAAACCGCGGTGTAGCATCTGCGATGCCGTGTATGGCTGTCGCAGGAGATGAACATCATTCGGGTTACCGAAGGCTTTGGATAAATCTGTGAAGCCAGGGACTGCGCATAGATGGACGTGCGCGTCGAAGAGACCTGGGCAGAGGTATTTGCCTTGGCAGTCCACTGTTTCGAAGTCGACTGCTAGTACGGACTCGGGTGGATTTGAGCCAACGTAGGCTATTTTACCCTCGATTGTTACTAGCGTTGAGTTCTCTTTGATTGTGGCGGATTCAATATCCACGATGTTGGCGTTGGTGAACTTGTATCCCTTTGGGGCGGGGCGGGTCCATGGCTTGATATCGGACCCAGGGAGGTTGGTTTGTGACATAATAATTATGTGAAAGATTGAAAGACAGATGTTTAAGTGAATGAGTAAATAACAAGACAAGTTATTGGTGTTTAAGTAGACATAAAGTGATGAGGGTGTATCGCGGCAAAGTGTCCAGGGCAGATACCCGACACCAGCGGCCCGACGACATCGCTTTATCAACTCCGCATGGCTAAATGGCTGATCTTCCTTCATTTGGAGATAAGGCGGTAATGCATAAATATGAGGAGTCCGGGGTCAATTGCCATATGTTACACACGTCTTCTCTGTGTACACTCAAAGTTGAATTGTTTGTTACGAGTCATCCCTAGCTTCTCCCCCTCGACTGGATTTAGCACTGTCTACAAGTGACTCACATCCAAGACCACCACCCTATCTCGATGGACATTTTAAAAGAGAGCCCAGAGTGCAGCGACAATGCTGATCGTACAGATGGCGAGATGCTCGAGTTGAGCGGTGGTTACACCGTGGAGGAAGAAAGGGCGGTTCTTCGGAAAATTGACATGGTCATCCTTCCATTTGTAAGCGATATATGTCGTTGCTCAAATATGAACCTAAGTTGGCTAACCCTGTGCGCTCTCAGATGTGTTTCGTCTTTTTCCTGCAATATCTCGACAAGCAGAGCCTCAGCTATGCTGGTGTATTCGGTCTCATCGAAGATCTCAATATGACGAGCTCACAGTACTCGTGGTCTAGCTCGATCTTCTACGTTGGCCAACTTGTTTCCGAGTACCCCTTCATCTACTTGATGAGTCGACTTCCATTGACCAAGTTTGTCGGTGCTACCGTGTATGTCTCACACGAAAGGGATTCGTCTTTCTTTTATCGCCTGTTTTGTTCTTGCCTTCCATATCCTAACTCCCCGTATACAGAATTGTCTGGGGCATCATATGTATGTGCCTCGCTGCTCCAACCAATTTCGCGGGGTTCGCCGCTGTACGATTCCTCCTCGGCTTCAGTGAAGGCGCCGTCTCACCCGCCTTTGTTACAATCACAAGTATCTGGTACCGGAAGAAAGAGCACAACATCCGCACAGCATTATGGATTACCATGAATGGTCTAGCCCAAGTAATTGGCTGCTTCCTAATGTACGGTATCGGTAAGAATACCTCACTTTCTATCGCGCCCTGGCGTGTTTTATTTATCATCTGTGGTGCCATAACCGTCCTTGCAGGCGTGGGTTTCTTTATACTCATGCCCAACGGACCTAAGGACGCGTGGTTTCTCAACGCTCGTGAGAGAGAGGTTCTCTCGCTGCGCATGGCAGAAGATCGGGAGGGTGGTGACAAGACGTCCTTCTCTATGGTGCAGCTCAAAGAGACACTCATAGACCCAAAAGCATGGGTTGTCTTTTGGTTTGGCGTTTTGGTTTGTATGCAATCGCCTGTATTGACCTTCGCGTCCCTTGTGATCAAGTCTATAGGCTATAGCAAGCTTGAGACTATGCTCTACACAGCTCCGTCGGGAGCTGTGCAGATTGTTCTGTTGTGGATCGGTGCAGGTCTGGTGTATATTTTCCCGCATCAACGATCACTGGTTGTCCTCGCTTTGATTATTCCACCTCTTATTGGCACTGTTTTCTTGATGAAGTTGGATGTTGCTGCCCAATGGGGCCTTATTGTTGCTTCATGGCTGGTATGATATTTCCTCATATAATTGTCTTGATCGGAGCTGTCACTAATTTCTACAGGCTTCTTGCATTACGGCATCGATGACAATTCTTCTTTCATTAGCGGCCTCCAATTTCAAAGGCAACACAAAACGCGCCATCGTGAACGGCATGTTCTTCATTGGTTATTGCGCGGGTTGTATTGCTTCGCCTCAGCTGTGGACACACCGCCCTCGCTATACCTCCGGTGTGATCACGTCAATTGTGACGTGGTGTTTACTTTTCTGCGTGGTTATTCTTTTCCGCTTCCTATGTGTGTGGGATAATAAGGAACGCGATAAGCAGGCAGCGAACTCGGATCCTATGAGTGTAGAACAACATGTTGCGCTGGATGAGAACGGTCTTCCTCAGACAGATCTTACGGACAAACAGGATCGGGAGTTCCGTTATGTATGGTAATTAAGTGGAGGTGATGATTTTGGAATGTGATATTAGCAAGTGTGTTCTAAAAACTATTGGTACATCAATATTTTTCAACGGTTACAGCAACGTGAAGATTCGGTGTGGGCGTGATACATTTCACAAAAACTTCCTTCTCACGAGTAATACGGCTTCAATCGCGTGTCTTGGTTCAGGCTGCGCAGTTGCAAAACCCACAGTATTATCGGCGACATTGTGATCTATATAGTTCCAAATGACACGTTTGCTATCATTGTCATCTTGAAAGGTGTTTGAATAAATTACTAACGCTGGCCAACTACCCACAGTCCAGGATAAGTGATCTCGCTTGTTCCGGATATAAAGGCTGCGCATTTGTTGTTCCCATTGTCTTCCGCAATCCATTGGTCCCGTGCGATATTGAAAACGGAACTCAGGATTCCTCCAAGTACCGTTCCGATTGAGTGCATGAAACAGCTCTGAACGCCGGCCAGACTCTTGGACTACAGCCACGAACTAGTTGATTGTCTCATTGCCTTCTGCCGCTCGCCCGATATCGTATATAGCTCGATTGATGAGGACTTGATGGAAGTAGAACCGCTCCACATCCTTAGAGAATGTAGTCCACTTGGGTAGAGGCCCTTTGTGGAGAAGATCATGGATAGCGCTTAATGTTATATGGAGTGGGCCAGTGATGAGTTTTGCAAGGGGTCCTTCAAGGAATCCGCGCATCCGAACTTGCCTTCCAGACCGTTGTCCTTTCTTTCCACGCTGTCTCCTGGCTATTTTCAATAATGTTTACGATACGATTTGGAACATATGACAAGCAGTCCAATCGGGTAGAATACAGACTTACGTCTGTTAAGCACATTTTGTTCCATTGTCAGTGGTCGACCGCTCGAATCTTCAGTGCATTTAATTGCATATAGTTTTGTAACGTGAGGCCAAACATCTGTATTTGGCAGAATGTCAATTCCTTAATTCTTATCAATACTGGTCCACCTTGCCCTCAAACTATGAGCTGCCGCCTTTGGCTTTCGGTCACGGGTGAAAACACCCTTCTTGTTACCGTCTACTCGGATGATACCCAAGTTGGTCTGGAAATCGGCGAAGTTCCAAACATGCTCGCCTGCCATCGACTCAATGCTATCAAACACTCGATGGTACATGTCTAGCATTTGTACTTGGAACTCTTCGCTCCAAGGCAGTCCGAGGATAGAGTGAAGGCCTGCAAGAGTATCTGCACCATATTCGGTCATGACGATCGGCCTGTGGAATTTCTCTTGCCATCCACGCAGCTCCTTTTCAAGAGCTGCCTCTGCTTCCTCAAGGTCTCCTGTTTGAGAATACCATCCGAAATACCGATTTATGCAACTGACATCAAACAGATCAGAGATCCGATCCAGCTGATATGTCGCCGTGCCGACGTTAGCAAATGTAATAGGGCGAGTTGGATCAAGTTGACGAGTCAAATTGGTCAGTGGCTCGAAGTATTCGCGAGCTCCATCTTCATGAGATGCGGGCTCGTTGGCAATAGACCACATGACAACACTGGCATGGTTTTTGTCTCGGGCAATGAGCTCACGAATCGCCTGCTTGTGGGCCTCTTGGGTTTTATCGTTAATCGCATCTGGCGTAAATGTTTGTGGGGCACCACTCTCAGATACGCCCATCAAGGCAATGTTCAGACCAACGGCAGGTGTTTCATCGATCACGACAATTCCATTTCGATCTGCGAAATCCATGACCTCTTCCGCATAAGGATAGTGTGAAGTCCGAAAAGAATTTGCTCCAATCCATTTCATGAGTTGGAAATCGTGAACCATGTATGCTGGGTCATGTCCTTTGCCACGTACTGCTGTGTCTTCATGTTTGCCAAAACCGGTAAAGTAGAAAGGCTTTCCATTTATTAAGAATTGTGACCCGGCAACCTTGACAGTACGCACGCCCGTAGCCAAATTGTAGGTGTCGACTACATCGCCGCTAGAACCCACGATGTTGACCTGGAGTTGGTAGAGATATGCGGCGCCAGGTTGCCATAGCTTGACTGAGGGAATTGTGACAGTACCCTGAGCTCCCGAGGCCTTTGCAACAATAGCTCCATCCTCGTCGATCACTGAGATCTGGATCTGCCCCGTCGTCTGGTTCGCCACTTCGACCTCGTAGTTAATCAGACCATTGTCACCATCAACATCTGTAACCACAGTAATATCCTGGATATGTTGCTTGGGTACAGAATAAAGCCAGATAGATCGGGCGAGACCAGCATAGTTGTAAAAGTCATGTTGATAGGTCTGGATTCTCTTGCCAGTCGCGTTCCCTGTGGTGATTTTTCCAGGTGGGATAGTCTCATGGGTAAGCTCGTTGTTGACACCAATCGTCAAGCGAAATTTCTCTCCGGGGGCGACTAATTGAGTGACGTCCGCTTCAAAAGGTGTATAGCCGCCCACATGCTCGGCAACAAGCCGGTTGTTGACATAGATGCGACCATGGTGCGTAGCGGATTCGGCTCGCACGAGATATCGCTCCTGAGACCAGCCTTTGGGGACAATGACCTCACGCTGATAGTAAACCCATCCCACATGGTCGTGGATCTCCCGGCTGATGAAAATGTCGTTGTAAGAGGCCGGGACTGGACATTCAAGACCTTTGGGCAATGGCGCTGTCCACGGCTGGGCCGTGTCATTGGGGCCAGATGCGAGGGCGAATTTCCATAGACCATCAAGGCTCACAAGCTCTCGAGACGAAGTTCGTTGGGGCCGGACTTTGATCAAGGGCTGTTCATGTTGGGTCATTTCATTGCGTTGAAAGTGCAGAGCTGCAGGTGTGCCCAACGATGGAGCAGCAAGAGATAGCAGCGACAATCCCGTAAAAAACTTCATTGCCGCTTTTATCAAAGGGTAATTAACACAGCCACTATTTATTTAATGAATTAGTATGAGTTGATGAGGGTATTTTATCTGGCTGCAGTTAGGCATTTATATAGTTTCCCAGACGATGCATCGGCAATTGAGTAGTTTTTCACCGGTGACTGATGAGCTTGGCATACTATCAGAACGGTCACACACGTGGTAGTATAGGGGGTAAGATGAGGGGGTGAACATGGGGTACATCAGTTGTCAGTTTAGATCGATGGCCATTGCGATATGCCAAGATGCCAAGACCGGGGTAAGTAGAATTCCTCTCGGCATCTACGCTTCCAGTCAACTCCTTCGGCAATTAACTTGCTTTCCCCGCCACGGCTATTGACTGCCTTGGCAATTCTAGGGCGACGGGGATGTGGGGGTGGTGGCTTCGGCTCATGTTGATCAAGTAATCAAGTATATCCAGCATACAGCTCGAAGTATTAGTTCCGTGAGCTAATCGACTGATGGTATATTCTATAGTTCTTAGCCTCGGAACAAAATAAAAAAATCCTAGAGAATGCCACGGTTGGAGAATGCAAAGAGTTTCTCGAAGGTGTGATTCCAAGACCAGGAAAGATAGCCTTGAAATTTATCCGATGAAGCCTATGGAGTTTTGAGTCTGGGGGATTTTTGCCGCTATTAGAAAGCCGTTCATGTATCTAGCCAGGCGAGTTTACCGCATTCAATAGAAACATGTAGACAGTGGAAGTCCTCGGCACCGGGTACACTTGGGCGATCCCAGGTGAGCGAACCGTGCGGGTCATGAGGGGACCAGAACTCAAGTGCCGCTCCGCCAAAGTGACCCTAAAACCACAGGGGTAGTCACAAAATAAATAGAGAATATATCTACATGTTGGGAGATATCTCTACCAAATAGCCAATTGCTATTGCCTTCGGGCTCGAATTACTTTCTAAGTATTACTGTACATAATTCTATAGCTTGGCACGCGCATCCTATACTCTTTAAGGGAGGTCGTATATGGGCACAGACTCTGGCGTAGGCTGCATTCCTTTGGACGTTAAAAAATATAAGAACATAACAACGATAACAGTACAAATGCATTGAGTGCTATGGCTTTGCTTGACACACTAGGCCTTTCCCATGATACCTAATATGTAGGGAATCGAGTACCGAACCAATAAGCTAACTCTTTATAGTGGCTGTAGTATTGCGCCAACCGCTTAGTCCAACAACAGACATTAGGGCTTTAGTAATGGTAACAGGTTATCTGGAACGGCGCTGTCAGATTGCAGTTAGTTGCCCCAAATCGCAACTAGAGAAAGAGGAGGGGCAAGAAGAAGCTTACGTCCAATACACCAAGGTTCATCGAACTGGTCGTACTCCCCCGAGTTCGTTGACTTGCAGCATCCGCGGTATTTCCCGTGTTGCGGTAAGCGCTTCGCGGAGCCACAATCGTATTGAACAATATATTCGGCCTTGCCATCACCAGTGAGATTTGTGAACAGGATCTTGCTGCCCGTCTCACCAACCCAAGAGAACTATTGCCATCGAGGTCGACGAAGTAGAGACTCGAGCCTTTAGTTCCAATAATTCCCCGGTTCTTCCACATACGGATACTCCCATCTTCAGCGATAACCATGAAATCAGCATTGCCATCTCCGTCCATGTCGGCGAACCGAATCATTTCACCTGTCATGCCCTAACTCCGGGCGATGCTGCCAAGATCATCCCAGTTGCGGCCCCATTGTTGAGGCTCCCAGTTGATTCGCCAGACTTTGAGGAAACAGCCCTGGTAAATAACAAGATATTCTGAAGACACATTAATCGAGTGGCGCAAATACTGGAAAGTGATGGGCCGTCTCTCTATTATATGCTGAATCATTTCGAGCTTTATGAGAGGGAGACTTGGTGCATTGTTGCGAAGAGAAGTCTGGACACTGATAGAGGAGAGCTTTGGCAGGGGCGGTGGGATAGGGAGTGACCCTTTGCTCACCCTTGCTCGTCCCTCTGCTCAATGGCTTTGGGCGAAAAGTCTGGAAGATGCTAATACACGTGATCCGGTGGTCTCACTGTTCCTGGGAGCTTAGGGGCCAAACTCAGCCGTCTTGTTCTGCAATGGAGAATTGACAGGTTTGGGAAATGCTGGGCTAAGCCACGGTCTAAAAATAAACCATGTGGTGACAAGTAATAACGTTATACAAGCACGCAAACTGATTTTTGGATCCTGCTGATAAATTATCGTTTTTTTCTTCATGCTTTATATTGCACTATCTATGACAGCTACACTTACATCCTCAAATGCAGTCCTCGACAGCTCTGTAGCGAAGCAATGCTGAAACGGCGCACAGGCCCATAGCCATATCTTAGCGCTGGGGGCCAAAAGGACGGTGGAGCGATTGCCACAACAACACACTCAATGAGGCTAATAACTTCGCTTAATAAGGGATGTGCAGGGTTAGGGGCTGCATGTATTTAACAATGAGGGCCAGTCCAATAATTCGCCTGTTCCTGGGCAGGTGCTTTTTCCCCTTTGAGACCTGACTGGTTCCGCGACAAACAGGAGCCTACAGAGATGGTGAGAGATTCGGTGCGCAAGGCTTGGATTTGGCTCCAACCTATGTTCTCGTTTCAGCGCTATAGCAGTGTCCACTATGGCAAACAACAAGACACCGAATTAACCGAAATGGGTGGAGACAAAGCATCTCTGCCGTTCTCATACTCATTGATTGCTGGGAGGAAGGAGAAACCCCTTACAAATGAAGATGTCAATCTGCTTGAAGAGCGGACGTCCAACGACCACATTATATCAGAAAATGGTACCTCGTCTGAACCAGGGAAGCGTCGCTGGATCGAAGGTGTCTACCTATGCGCTAAAGCATCCACCGTGGTCCTTCTTCTACATCTGGTCTTTGTCGCTGTTGCCGTTGGTCTATCCAGCAGGTATCCCGGCAAGCACAGCTTTGCTAACGGCTCGGTCATTTATGACGGCAGTTGCATTTTAACCAAGCGATGGTCCATTGCACTCCATTTGATAATCAACATACTGAGCACCTGCATTCTTGGTGCAAGTAATTACTGCATGCAGACGCTTGTCGCGCCCACCAGGGAAAGCATCGACCAGGCCCACGCGCAACGACGGTGGCTCGATATAGGGTGTGCCAGTCTGCGGAATTTGTTTGCGATTGACCGCGCTCGTCTGGCACTGTGGGTTGTTCTCATGATTACAGCAACCCCATTCCATTTACTGTGAGATTTCTCGAGCATGTACTTTGACTGGAACTAACATGAGGTTGAAAGGTACAACTCTGTGATCTTCGAATCTATAAACACGAATGAGTTTGGCTACATAGTTGCTCCCCACGATATCAGCCCTGCCAACGTTTGGAATTTGACTACACCTGAGTTGAACCAATGCTTCGTGTATCCGAATTACAGAATATGGGGTGAGATGAAGTGGCCCGACTTTGCCTCTATCATTGCTCAAGAGAAGTATGATCATATCACCACAGAGGAGTGCATGTCATACTTCAACCAGATCAACCAACGGGGTATCAAGGCACTCATCGCGCTGACGCCAGACTTATCTGTTCACGACGGTGGCAATGAAGTTATCCGCTCAGTGCAAACTCTCCAGGGTATGCCAAGCTCGATGTCGACAGGCGGAAGTGATGCGGTAGACTATGGCCCAAATGGTGACGCAGCCCACGGTAACGTAATCCAAGGCAACAGCTATTCAACAGACTACATGACCCTTCACCTCGATGATGGACTGTTTTATTACCCATACAATATGTCGTCTGTAGAGGACTGCATAGATGAAGGTGGTAAACGTGCCGCGTGTGAGCATGCTAGCGAAGTGATGGACTGGGTGAATGGCGCCCCTGCCAAAACGATTGAAGATGTCCGCAGCTACATCGATGCCCATGACATACAGGACGTCAAGGCTGAAAGCGCAACCGTATGTGGCGAAAGCAATGATTGGGGAACATACACTGTCGATGGATGTATGGCGGTGCGAGCTGAGCAACATTGCAGGCTGCTATACAGTCCCCCAATCTGCATCGTGATTGCATTAACGACAATGGTGAAAGTGATTGCCATGTTCCTCGCTAGTCGAATCGCACGTCTTCAATCAGCCCCACTGCTCACAGTGGGCGATACCGTAGCATCTTTCATTGCGAACCCTGATCGTTCGACAGCTGGAATGTGCTGGCTCTCTAGCGCCGATGTCCACAAAGGTAAATGGAAGAAGCTTAGCCCACCACATCCGATAAGTGCAGAAGGAGACCTGGACGATAGCTGCGAGGCTGTTATCATAACCCATAAACCCCTGCCGCGCCGGAAGCGTTGGATCCAAGCACCAAGTATCAGCAGAATCTCAGTAACCATTATTCTGTGAGTTTTCCTTCGGTTAATGCAACATAATTTATCTTTCCGACCTAAAATCTAACAAGTCTCTTTCAGATGTCTGGCACTTATTGCTGCAGGAGCGTCCCTCTTTCAGCGGGCCATCACCAGCGACTGGCAGGCTTATACTTCAAACTCATTTCTCAACATTGCGCTCCTCCGAGAATGGTGGGCAGAAATGGACGCCAACACTTATAATTTTGTCCACAGCTCAGGCCTTCAGCTACCCATCCTAAGCTCGGTGGTGATAGCCAATATCCCGCAATTAGCCCTCACCATCTGCTATTACTGGTACAACAGCGTTCTGACAGGCATGGTGGCTGCAGCAGAATACAGCACTTACGGAGCATCAAGACAACCACTGCGCGTTACATGGCCAGTCAAAGGCAGCAAGCAACGCTCCACATATTGGCTCAGTATACCTTACCAGTACGCCATCCCGATTCTAATGATGTATACGATTCTGCACTGGTTAATTTCACAGAGCATCTTTTACGTCACGCTGGTTCCCTACCGGCCAGGGGGTCAAGTCGACTGGGGCTCGTCCCGTCTCGAGAGCCCAAATGCTCAGCCGTCTGGATATGTAACCGCAAATCCGAATTCTGCATATGGAGGTTCGGGAGGACAAACAGTCAACTCACTTGCATATGCTCCATTGCCACTCTTTGTGGCTCTGATGGTTGGGGCTCTTATGGTTTTAATCTTGGTTGGCTTGTCGTTCCGAAAGTTCAAGTCCGATATGCCTTTGGCGGCAACTTGTAGTGCTGCTCTTAGTGCTGCCTGTCACTTGCCTGAGGATGACGATTTAGATAATGCGGCCTTGGGTGGGCTGATGTGGGGTGAAACTGCTGGATCGCCGGCTTGGAAAAAGGATCGCGAAATTGACGATGAGAAGGGACATTGTTGTTTCACTTCATTGGAAGTTGATAAGCCTTCGGCGACGAAGTTGTATGCTTGATAACCTACGCGAAGTTAAACAGTTCCATTTTCACCAAACACTAAAAGCCTCAATCAACCCGAATTTACTATCCAAGTAGAGCTTCCCGCGACCCCAATTAGTTATTATTTGTAACATGCCTTCTGTCACAAATCCTTTCCAATGATCAGTTATTAGATCAAATACTTATCTGTGGAGATTCGTCATCTACACTTAACCTCTTCACACCACTTACTGTCTTCGTCTGTCGAAGTTCTGATATTGACCTCTTTCCATATTTGGATCTTTATCGATATAGATAAAGTGGTTTTCGAGCGTTAGAATAGCTCATTGTTTTCATATACTATAGCCACAGTGGGACACAGTGAAAAGGGAACCTTACTGTGGAATTGCTACCTCAGGATCGGGTGTATAAGCCACACGCCGGTAAGTTAGTAATTAGGTAAGTTACCATGAGCAAATCCTTACTATTGCATGTTTTTGTTGGGCTCTTTGCTGCTTTTGTTTGCTGTCTCAATATCTTGCCCGTTTTTGTTACTCTTCCTAGACCGTACTGGCTTGAGCCTTGTTGGGGAGGTGAGAGGAGGTTTCGCAAAATAAGTGGTTTTATAACAATAAACCCTTCGTAACAAAATTTAGTGGTGATATAACGATATTTATATGTACATGAGAGAGGAGCTGTTGCTCTGTCGAATAAAACATACACACACTATTGCATGCCTACTCTCGACATGGCAGTAGTTTAGATCTTTCCCTTAATGATATCGGCGGCACGCTCAGCAACGGCATACACCGTGCTCTGCAAGTGACCACAAACCTGGAAGGGTATAATAGAGGCATCAACAACCCGAAGGTTGGAGGTTCCGTAGACCTTGAGCGAAGTGTCAACAACACCACCGACTTCCTTCGGCATCATAGCAGCAGTGCTGATGGGGTGGAAGTTCGATCGATCTAATAAAAAGTTAGCAATAGCCCTCTTAGCAATGGAAATAACTGAATGAAACATACAGTTCTGCTTGATGAAGTTAGACCATCCCTGGTCATCAGCACCAGCAGCAACAACAGAGAGACCGGGACTAGTCTCATTGCCGGCCATGTCAGCGAACGGCTCGGTCTTGAAGAGCTCGCGAATGAAACGGGCCGCCTGGATTTGAGCATGGAGATCGAAATCCAACATGAAGTACTTCGGGTCAATAGTAGCTGCGACGGTGGGGTCGGCAGAGGACAGGTGAACGTTTCCACGAGAGAAAGGAACAGAGCCCCAGTATTCGGTGTCGTATGTGTTTCCAAAGGGCTCGAGCAGGATCTCCGCGACAGGAATTCCAGCCTTGAAAATCAGATCCCATTGGATCTTGAAGAAGCGCTGGATATCACTGGCCTTGGTGATGTTACCGTTGGCGGAGGCAACCTTGGCTGCGTAGGCTGGAAGCTTGCGAAGGAGCTTGGCGCCGACGGCGGTGGAGTTGGGGAATAGCTGAGAGGCTGATGGGTAGGCGACGTAGTCGGCGCTCTTGCTGTAGCTTGCCTTTGAGTCGTACTGAAGTCCGTTGTTCATCTGGTCTTGGAGGTTCTCGCCAACGGTCGGCAGGTTGATCTTGGTGTCGATGCCGTACTTAGCAAGGATGCTATTGTAAATCTATATGTTAGCTCCTGAGGGATATAGATTAGAATTTGAGATCCTTACTCAGGGTTGCCAACTCCAGAGAGCTCAAGCAGAACAGGAGACTTCAATGCACCAGCAGCAAGGATGACCTCGCGAGTGGCCTTCACCACGGCCATGGTACCGTTGGAGAGAGTGACCTCGACGCCATCTGCAGTAGCATCTTCGCCATCCTTCCAGGTAATCTTGTTGGCATGGGTTCTCAGCCAAACATGGAGGTTGGTTCTGTTTTGGTAAGGGTAATAGTAGGCGCGAGCGGCATCCTCACGGATGTTCAGCTCAGAGTCCACAGTCTTGGGAAACAGGCTGTATCCAACCATATCTCCACCATTGGGGTCCTTGTTGTAAGAAACGGGCACATCGAAGTTCTGGTAGGTAGTGTTCACCTCCTGGGCGAGACCATCGTTCAACTGAGTTGAAGACCAGCCGACCTTTAAAGGGCCAGTGAAGCCATGGTAGGCCGGGTCATAGGTAACTCCAGATCCATTCAAGAACGAATACTTCTCAGGAGTTTGGAACTGCTCTCCCTTGCGGAAGTAGGGGAACAAGTTCTTCCAGTTCCAGCCCTTGTTACCGACTGTCTCCCAAGCGTCAATTTGGGCAGTCTGTGCACGCAGATACACCATGCCGTTGATGGTGGATGTTCCTCCAAGTGCCTTTCCGGCACGCAATGTTTGGGAGATCCCGCCGCCATACTCCTGCTTTGTTGTCTCGTAGGCCCAGTCGATGTCCGTTCCGAATGCTTTGCCGTATCCGAGGGTGTCTGTTACGTTATCGTTGTTGTATACCGAGCCTCCAGCTTCGATGACGAGGACATTGATGTTCTCTTGCTCGGATAGACGGTTGGCGACAACCAGGCCACTGGTTCCACCTCCGACGACAATGTAGTCGTATTGTGTCACTGAGCTGCGAGATGCATGAGGGACTGCAGCTGCTAGAGGAAGCAGTGCGAGGCTGATGAGGTTGCGCATGGCTTATGGCACTTGCTATTGAGAGATGCAGGGTGTATTTTGAAATTTCAGGTACAAGCGGTGCTGCTACGCTGATCAATTTATACCCAGTTCTATATGTATCCTGGGCACTGAAAAACACCAGCAAAGATTTACAAGCATCGGATCCACAGCCCATCTCAGGGACCTACTGAATCAATTTTGGGACTAATCTATAACTAGAAAGTTAAATCCGTAACAAGTGAGTATGGGAATGGTAACTCAATTGGGTATATTTTGAGGGAACATCTGATCCACTTCGGCTCAAAGTATGGCTAGCGAGATGAGAAAGGTGAATATTCCGCTGCTACCGACATCGGATTGACCATACAAGAGCTGAATAGACTAAAATGAAGATCTGGCCCTTTTACGGACTCTGTGCGGTGGATCAAATCCGTCGGATTTGCACTTTAAAACCAAACCCTTAGTACAGCGCCGCATCTTGGTCATCTTTAGTCAGGGTTAGACATGCATCTTGGCAACATATAAAATGACAGTAATCCCTGCAGTAATCGGGATTATTAATGATCTCATGCCGATCTTGTTCGGGATAGGAAAGAAGCCGGGTGTGCCGAATCTTTTGACACTCGGCATGCCTGAAATATGCAGGGGTTGCCCGAGTTCGACGTTTCACCGGATTCTAGAATAGGGGCTATGTCCATATTAAACTCAGCTTTAGTAGATCAGCCCGGATTTCCGAACAAAGTATATGGACTGCACCCTGCGCCTCGGAGCGTATTGCTTTTTATGGTTATTGGTCCAGTGTTCTTTTTTTCTTTTTTTTCGTTTATGATCATTGTCCACCTATTCGCAATGCCAAAAGCAAAAGGCCTCTGAAACCTTTGGCCGTTGATATAACATATTTGTAAGCACTTAGTCCAAACACTCCGCCCCACAGCGGAACTCTTTTGACACTAGGCTGTGCAATGCCAAGAAACCGTGAAGGGGTGAATTTTCTGTTTTGTTTACATAAGGGGCAAGATGACGAAACTTTCGAAAGTTCTACCCTTTTCCATTTTGGCAAGATCTGATAAGATCCCGTGGTGTGGAGATCAGGGTTTCTTGACCTGGAAGAAGCGGATTTATGAGTCCTACTGCATTCCCGAGTGGCGTCATCTTCATGTGGGCATGGTGTCTGACCTCATCACGATGATTCCTACTCAATTGTTCCTTAGCAATCTCCATCAAAAGCTTGTTGGAAGGCCTGAACACCCTATATCGGCAACCAGCGGCTCAAGCGTAATATGTAGAAAGAAAATGTCCGGTTTATACCCGTGGTAAAATGACAGTCATTTAATTTTCATTGTTGTTGAATACATGTAAATTACTACGTTTTCGCAAAATCTCAATAGATTACATCTTTTATCTATAGAAGCTATACCTATAGTTAAACAGCAGGAAGATTCCAGAATCCGGATCTAATATAATGTCTAAGACAATCATTCGGGTTCATGCAAGAATAATTTTTGAAGGCACTCCAAGGGAGAGAGCAACTCTGAAGAAAACAACCAGCAGAGGGAAACCCTGTTCCGGAGTACAAAGGGATCAGTTCGCCTGTCTCTACAGTGCTGAAGGGAGTGATGCCGGGGTCCCACTAAGCCATAGCTTGGCATTTGCTTGGTTTTAAAGCGATTGTTGAAACTAGGAATCAAGCTGATGCTGTAAGTACAATATGTACAGAAAATATATCTCTTTTCATAAATCCTGTGACCGTCAAGCGGTTCATTGTCTGAATCTCCACTCATCTTCCATCATTCTGGTAAGTTGAAATTTGGAGATTTCTTACATGGTATACCCCGGAGAAGCTGAGCTGTGGCATTCTTAAAGAGGGGAATGTGAGAACTCTTTCACGTAATCGATTAATCCACGTGCTGCCAGGGGTTGAGTTCTCCGCTGGAAGGGATGGAGGCGAGGCAGTGTTCTTTGGGCTCTGCAGTTACTCAGTCAAAAATGAAATTTCCTTCGGTGCTGGGACTCAGCAAACCTTCTCTGCCCGGGGACGCTGTGCAATAATAAGACCAATTTTGGAATCAGACATTTTCTTCGGATGGAGTAAATTATTGAGAGATTGAAATGATTCTGGCAGCGTAGGTACGACAAGTCCACAGGCATTTTAATATACCTATCGCCCTGTATGACCACATTGCACAGGGGACTGGCAGTAAAGTCCTCTGGCCAAATGCTCAAAAACTGGACCAACTTGCCGAGAACTACATCATTGTGTGGAGAGCCTACGTTAATATTCGGCATTTGAGAGTATAATATGCGCAGATCGTAGAGGGCAGGTGAAGATCACGAAGCTTTATTCAGCGGAAGGGAGGATATGTCCTTTTCCTTGACTTGTTGCTGATTTCAAACCCCGGCAATTTTGC